CATTGAAAATGGCAATTTATAGTGGATTTTCCCAGTAAAAATGGTGATTTTCCATAGTTACGTTAGTTTACCAGAGGGTATCTTTCTTGGTGAAATGATGTGTGTCCAGCATTTTCCTATGCTTTCGACTGGGGGCCCCACCAGGTCACCACTGAAAACCGCCCCCAAGGCCACCTCTAGTTGGGGCCAACTGCGCGACGTGATCCGAGAGGAAATGTCCCTCGCGACACCGGGCACCGGGCACGCAGGGTGCAGTTGAGGTGAAAGAAATGGTGATTTAATGGTGATTTAATGGGTTAACAATGGTGAATAGTGGGATGATAGTGGGATATAGCCTCTGGTAAACTAACAGTTTGCTATTGAAAATGGCCCAGTCGAAATAGTTGATGAATACCCATAAAAAATGCTGATCTTCCATAGTTATGTAAACGTTTACCAGAGGGTAACTATCGTGATAAATTTTGATATGACCATTGTGATAAATTGTGATATGACCATTGTGATAAATTGGAAAAGATGGGGGTGCAGTTGATTGTTACAAACCCCGTACGGTGTGATATGACCCACCCCTATATGTTATAAACCCCACAAATTGGGATATGACCCCCATACCCCATAACCAGGATCAACCACTCAAAATTGGAACTATTTGGAACTGCGCTTCCAAGCAATACCCTCCGGCAATATGGAAAACCACCATGTGTATATCATGGATAAATTATCTATAAAATGGCAATTTGTCCGTAGCTATGTAACAAATGACCGGAGGGCCGGAGGGCAATTTACCTATACGTTTGCACTTTTTTGGTGGTAAATCTTAGCAAATGGCTGAATTTAAGTATGGCATATGTAGCTATATGCTGGTACATTTGGGTCATGCGCGTTCTTATTTTGAGGGCAGATAGGGCAAATGGATGCAAATGGTAAAAGAGATCTCATGCATGCATGATCTGGATGATAGCTTCCATAGTGGTTTGGTAATGGTTGCAACATCCCAAAACAAGAGAGCATTCTGAGTTGTACGTGGGCCAACGGGTTTTTAGGTAAATCTGCATTTCTTTAGGCAGAGCTCAGAATCGATGTGTTTGATGGGAACCTTGGCAAGATGTTTCCCAATCGATCGACCAGGGTGATCTTGAACATGTGGTTTCACCACCATGCCTGATGAAGTCGGGCTGTCATGTTTTAGTGGTTAGTATCCCCTCTTTGACGGGTAAGTATGGTTTGATATTAGGGTGATCTATATGGGGTGGACCCAAACTGGGATCATTTAATGTCATGAAAGTCATAGTGAAAGCGTGTCTCAGAACTGATCATACTGATTGTTACTGATCTACGGTTTATTTTATGTCACAGGAACCCCATCTCTTAACGGGTTTTAGACCATGGTCTTTCTTCTTTTTTCTTCCTCGTAGCCACTGCGTCATCTCCAAGGTCAGCAGCTCTCTCCTCTGTCAGTCACAGCGCCGCTGTGGGGGTGCACGGCATCCCGTGTAGATTGCTGAGCTACCCATCAACCCCAAATGGATAGTAATGTATAGTCCTGTATAGTAATGTATAGTAACGTATAGTAATGTATAGTAACGTATAGTAATGTATAGTAATGTATAGTAATGTATAGTAACGTATAGTAATGTATAGTAACGTATAGTAATGTATAGTAATGTATAGTAATGTATAGTAACGTATAGTAATGTATAGTAATGTATAGTAATGTATAGTAACGTATAGTAATGTATAGTAATGTATAGTAATGTATAGTAATGTATAGTAATGTATAGTAATGTATAGTAATGGATAGTAATGTATAGTAATGGATAGTAATGGATAGTAATGTATAGTAATGTATAGTAATGTATAGTAATGTATAGTAATGTATAGTAATGTATAGTAATGTATAGTAATGTATAGTAATGTATAGTAATGTATAGTAATGTATAGTAATGTATAGTAATGTATAGTAACGTATAGTAATGTATAGTAATGTATAGTAATGTATAGTAACGTATAGTAATGTATAGTAACGTATAGTAATGTATAGTAATGTATAGTAATGTATAGTAACGTATAGTAATGTATAGTAACGTATAGTAATGTATAGTAATGTATAGTAATGTATAGTAACGTATAGTAATGTATAGTAATGTATAGTAATGTATAGTAATGTATAGTAATGTATAGTAATGTATAGTAATGTATAGTAATGTATAGTAACGTATAGTAATGTATAGTAATGTATAGTAATGTATAGTAATGTATAGTAATGTATAGTAATGTATAGTAACGTATAGTAATGTATAGTAATGTATAGTAATGTATAGTAACGTATAGTAATGTATAGTAATGTATAGTAATGTATAGTAATGTATAGTAATGTATAGTAATGTATAGTAACGTATAGTAATGTATAGTAATGTATAGTAATGTATAGTAACGTATAGTAATGTATAGTAACGTATAGTAATGTATAGTAATGTATAGTAATGTATAGTAACGTATAGTAATGTATAGTAATGTATAGTAATGTACAGTAGTATATATAAGTAATGGATAAGCAATGGGTAAGCAATGGATCAGCAGTGGATAGACATGTGAGATGACCTACCAAGATGGATCAACTGAGGTGCGGCCCATGCAATTCATCATCAACAACAGCGCTCAGGTTTGGCCGTGCGGAAAAAGCCTCGGATCTTTGGGATCGTTGACATGTTTTGTGATGGTTTTGTTGTCAAATGGATGGTTTATGGATGGTTTATGGATGGTTTTGTTGCTTTGATAAATGAGAGCCTGAGGCTGAGACACCAAAAATCCGCAATCTACAAAACCGCCAGCCTGGTTTGTTCTGACTTAGCTAAAAATCGTGTTCGGCTGGGAAACCCAGCAAGACTTACACCCAACATGGCTGACAACAGAAACCCAGCTGACCACTTCAAAGATGTCTCGACTTGGTTAAACCCTGTTCATTTTGTTTTGATCTTTTTTATGGATTAACATCAGTCAAATGTCATTTCTACAGCTGATCATCGGTACATTTCCATATATTCATGGCTCGGACATGTTTAAAGCCCTATCTTTATATGTTTTCATTTGTGTTTTAAATGCATTTTACATAAATATATACATATTATATATATATATATATGTATATATATATATATATATATCGCACTTCTTTGGGTGACCGTCCTTCATTGTTCGAAGATAATGCCGTTATTTTTTGGTGCTATCTTCCTGCTTCCATAGCTTAAGCCCCCTATATTTATCAGTAAAGGCGGCAAAAACTCAAGGTCAAATCCAATACTTGCATAGGGAAGATCATCATGTTTTAATGGTCAAAACCCCAGTTTATGTAGTCGATAAAATTCCCGATTTGTTGAACAGCATCCTATTAATCTGTTGGATTTGATCGTAGTTTCACCATCAACATCATGTTTTTGAGTGCATTTGAGGGTTGGTTTTTTGGGGTCCCAGCACTTCAGAAGGGAGCCCGAGTTTTTTTTGTTTTGTGTGTGTTTGTCTGAAAATATGAATGGTACTCCCAAAATTTCATGGTTTATCATCAGACCAAATATCATATATTGTTGGTTAACTTTTATTCCCACAGAATTCCCACAATATTCCCAAGTGATGTCTGAATTGTTGCTGTTTTTTTTGCTTAGTCACTCATTGGTATACCCTACTGTAAAAGCCACCATGAATGTAGATCATATTCCTAGGGTTTTCCACAGTTTTCCACATGGTTTTGTTTGCTTACCTCAGGGCTTTTTTGCCTCAAGGTCATCCCAATTCCAGATACCATCTGGTTATGACTAACAGTTCGCCATGGTTTTTCGATGGCCCATAGAAATGCCCATAGAAAGTTAGATGGTTTACCGTTCTTAATAGCATGGTGGATCTTCCCATGGCGAACTGGCAAAGTCATAACCAGATGGGACCTCTGGTAACTCACAGTTTGATGATTCGCCCATGACCTGGAGTGAAGATGGTCATTAATGATCTACCCTCTGGTAATGACTGTTACTGGATGGACATATCCACTAGAAATGGTGATTTAAGGGTGATTTAATGGGTTAACACTGGGTTAACAATGGTGAATAGTGGGATGAAAATGGGATATAGCCTCTGGTAATGACTAACAGTTTGCGAACTTGAAGCCATGGCCCAGTCGAAATAGTGGATTTACCCAGCTAGATAGCATGGTGATTTTTCATAGTTATGGGACAGTTTTCGCATTGAAAATGGTGATGTTCGATAGTTATGTGAGTTTACTGGAGGGTATCCCCAAAATTCCCCAAATCCCCAACTACCATAGATTTTCCCATGAAATATCCCACATAAATCTCCATATATTGATAATCATATCCCACATATGGATGAGAATTGATCATATCCTGAAGGTCCCAGTTCCATATGATGTTAGTTTACATGTTTAACGTAGCTATATTTACCAATTGTTGATCCAAAAATGATGATTTACCGTTTATATGTTTCAATATGTTAGTTTCCTGGAGGATAGGTTTTCCACATGTTTTTGTCTGCTTACCTCAGGACAATATCCTCAAGGTCATCCCAGTTCCATATGATATCCCCTACTGGTTGGTGGTTTCAAACATTTGTTATGTTCCATTTCATATATGGAATGTCATCCTTCCCATTGACGAAGTCCATCATTTTTCAAGATGTTTTTTCAACATGTTGAAACCACCAACCAGATAATTATATATAGTAACTATATCAAGTATATATACGGACTATAGTAATTAATCATAATAGCTAATCATAATACATTGGTTATACATTCCTAAAACCATGTTGAAACCACCAACCAGCCTGACTAAACCGTAACTATAGTAACTAAATCCAATGAATAGTAACTAAATAATCAACTATAGTAACCAATAACAGATAATTATATATAACTGATTATAATAGTCACTGCTTACAATAACTATAAATAATCAACTATAACTGGTTGGTGGTTTGGAACATTTTTAATTTTTCCATATATTGGGAATGTCATCATCCCAACTGACTTTCATATTTTTCAGAGGGGTAGGTATACCACCAACCAGATAATAACTAAATCCTCCACATTTCTGGCACTTCTCGTGGCATCGTGGCCTCGTGGAGGCCAACGTGGAGCAGGCGCCTGCGCCGGCGCCGGCACCGCCGCCGCCAGAGAAACCGTCGACGATACTGGAGGCACGGGAACGGCGACAAAAGCGGAGTTAAAGGATGTTAAATGATGGGAAACTGGGTGATTACCATGGTTAATGATGGTTAATGATGGTTAATGATGGTTAATAGTGGCAAATAGTGGCTAATAGTGGCAAATAGTGGTTAATCATGTGGTTGGTGGTGACTGGAACCATGGACTTTTATGACTTTCCATATATTGGGAATAATGATCCCAGTTGACGAGCAGATTTTTCAGAGGGGTTGAAACCACCAACCACTCATGCAAACATATGATTATATGAAGTTAAATTCAACATGACTTAAGTTATCTTAAAATATCTTAAGATTTTAAGATCCAAATATATGGAACTTAAGATGATTTACGATGATTTAAGATCCAAAATTCAGTTTTTTCAGATGATTTTACAGTAAGAACCATGATGATTTGGACGTGATTTGATCCATTGAAAAGCATGAAAAGTAAGGATTTACACCAGACAGATCAGATTTTTACATGTTTTATTCCATAGAAGTTTGAATTTAAGCATGCAAAAGTTTTTTTTAACCGGAAACATGGCAATTGACCATTTGACCACTTGGGAGCTAGTTGAAGCTCAGAAATATAGCTGTCAAAATGGCTAAAGATATCTAAATGGGAATTGGTGGACTTCCACATAAACATCATGTCTATTGAGTCCACGTAAATTTTACGTAAATGTCCAAGAATCCAAGTTGTGGTTTTTTATCCATGGTGGATTGAATTCAGAGATCTGGCCAAGTTCGGGTTCCATGGATGATGTTTAACATTATAATAATATGTTCCAATTTGGTTCCAGATCCAGATCTGGCCAAATTTCTATGTTTTTTTTCTGATGCAAACCTGGCGTTGGAAACCCCTGGGGGGTAAACCCAGTGAGCCGCCAGGGCTTCTTCCGATTCATGGAGTCTCCGTTGCGGCCTGGCCGATGGAGTGTGAGTGCTGCGGATGGCCAGAGTTGACCAAGAAAAAGACAACGATACCCTCTGGTAAACAATGGGATTTTAATGGGATTTTATGGTGACTTTAATGGGATTAATGGAGCTTACCCTCTGGTAAACTAACAGTTTGCTATTGATAATGGCCATTTATAGTGAGTTTTCGCATTGAAAATTGTGATTTTCCATAGTTATGTGACAGTTTACCAGAGGGGTATTTGGTAGGGAACCACCTTTACACGATTTCTATATATGTCCTATGGTCTTGTCAGTTCTTATTCTGCAGAAACGCTGCTTCCCTCAGGAATCGCATCTTCGTCTACGGCATGATTGGCATTGGGCAGCCTGTCCTGAAGATGGACATCATCTAATGGGGGAGATGATCGAAGAATTTTTGCTTGCGAGCGCCCATATAAAAATGAGCATCGCCTAGCAGATTAAAAAAAAATGTCAGTTGTTTCTCTATACTTTACAAAAACCGGCACGTTTTGCAACGTAAACAAATGTAAAGTATGGTCATGTATGGTCTATGGAATTAATCATGCCTGAATTGGTCAAAACTGAGATATGGCCCCTGCATCCCCCGGCAGTGCCCAATTCCACGTACGACTGGGCCTATAGCCTGATGTAATGTTGACCTCTGATTTATAAACGTGGCCCCTCCCCTCTTTGCCCCTAAATAAACTTAAAGCCACCATCTAACTTGTTTGTATGTATTGGTTTTCAATTACCACAATTTAAAATGATAATATAAAATGCAATTTCCAAAAAAAGATAAGGAAGCCAACAATTGTGTTAGTATTGATTTAGTATTCATTTCATGGATTTAGTATTGATTTAGTATTCATGTCATAGATTTAGTATTGATTTAGTATTCATGTCATGGATTTAGTATTGATTTAGTATTCATAAGCAGCATATAGGATAAGCACCTAGTTGGTACATAAAAGCCACCTCAAATAAAGCATGGACAATTTTGGTCAGCCCCATCTGGGTTTAGGGCCAAAAAAAAATAGCTTTATTTAGGGGTCATTTATTATTTAGTTTGGGAGTTTGGTTAGCTTTATATATTCAGGGTGAGTTTATACTGTAAATCGTAGGTGAACATTACATATATAATTAATCATATATATATAATATACACATATCACATTTATATATAATTATATAATATTATATACATGTATTTATATATTATAGACACACTCTGTGTATATAAATATATGCTGCATATATAATGTGTTTCAACCACGTCATGGCCTTGGGTTAACGGTGACCATCGACTCCCAGGCTGTACGTTCTTCAAGGCTCATTTGGGGATTGATCAAGCTCGTGCTGTTGGCACATGCTGGGCCATCCTTTTAAAGGTCGCTGCAAAAATGGCAACGTCGGGATTTGGTGATTCACCATGACCAGAAACCGAAGATCGAAAATGTTGGTTTCAATATTTTCCGAAACCATGATTCACCGTGATTCACCATGATTCACCATGATTCACCATGATTTGGTGATTCACTATATTTTCAGTGAAACAGCTCCGAACACATGGTCCGAGCCCGGCAGGGCACTTGTCCCATAACTGGCGCTTGGCGGAGATGTGGGAGAGCTCGGTTCGACCGTTCACTCGAACGGCCCCTGAGATTCGAACTTCCTAAAGGGGAACGGCCCCAATCACTGCTACAAACTATCCAATTTCATTGGATGATGGGAATGTAAATTAGAATTTATAAATATATATATTATACATATATCATATCATATATATATATCATATATATATATATATTCAGAACACCCACATTGGTCAAGTGACTCACAAACAAGGCAAGAGCCTGGAATTTGCCGCCAAGAAACGTATCAAAGCAAACATTTCTGTATGGGTTCTAGCCACTAGCATGGAATTTTCAGCCAAGAATTATACTCAAGAATTGGGATTCTTGCCAAAAAAATGGATCTGGAACCAAGAAAAGGTGGAATCTACGACGTAACCAGTGAGTTTAAGTTGAGGTCCATAGATATAATTGACTATAGCCACGTAGCTAATCGGGTTTAGAAACCAACTTGCGACTGGTGGGCCCCACATTGTTTGAACGAATGAAGATGCACCAGCAATGATAGTGATATTCGGTGGTTTGATGCCACACATCGCCACAAAAGCCAGCTGTGTGATGCCAGGCTGCCAAACGATCTATAGCCAAGTATAGAAAGGAACACCACGTGACAACGACAGCCCAGAAAAAAATCTCCTGGTACTGTATGTGACCCAGGCAAATCCAACAAATTGCCTATGCCACAAGCTTCAATTCATAGACCCAGCATTCTTGATCATTGTTAGTCTTAGCTATTTAAGTATTGGTTTACTGACTTTACTGCTGCATGATGTATAATTAAATCCTACTGATGTGGCTGGGAGGTTAAAGGGAATCCCAAAATTTCAGGGACATGTCCGTAGCCGGTTGCGACGATGAACTTTGAATAATCGAAAGCGATCTGCAGCATGCAAAATGCCCATGTCCAAACATAATCTGAATAATTCCCTTATAGCCCAAAAAGATTCAACAATAATAAACATCTGCTTTTTCAGAGGGGTTGAAACAACCAACCAGACATTGGATCTTTATTGATTCAATGGCGATTCACTTTTCTATCTTTTTGGGGTATGACTATACAATACAGATGACCACCAGTGATCCGGGAAACTGGAACAGTGAGTTTGGTTTCCAAATTTCACTTGTAATTCACCTGGTAATTTCGTGTGGCCACAAAAAAAAAAAAAACATATGTGCAATAGCTAAATCATCGATGGATCATTTTCCATAGCAAATTACGGGAGATTAAAAGAACACACTGGAAAAAACCATCCACTCTGGAAATTCCATGGCTTGGAAATACTGGGATGCGCTTTGAGGGCTCTAGAATTCATCTCGCTCGCCAGTGCTGCGCTTTTGTTCAAAAGATTCAGCTGGCCATCCGGCCATCTCGCAGGCGCATGGTGATGGGCCAGCAGATGGAAGAGTTGGACCGGGAATTCTTGTGAAAAAAATGGGAAAACCCATGAAAAACTGAAAAACCGAATAACCACCCTCCCCTGAAGATCAAATTCCATCCTATATCCGTTTTGGGGAAATCCAGGACTAAACCAGAGGTTGGTTTGGGGGGTATAACTCATCTTAGGGGTTGTTTTGGGGGAAGGGATTTATAGGGTTGATGATGAAATTTGAGTAGGGTAGTACAGAAATGCAAAGGACATACATTAATATCAATGGGAGATCTCCAGGATCCTAAAATGGAGGTACGTTAGTACCATATTTTTGGCCATATTTTGTGGGGATATTCCCTGAAATTTAGGCCTTATATATGGTAGGTACCTCCAATTTAGGTTCCTGAAATGGCCATTGATAATATAGATATGACTAAGTATTGCAACTTATCTCCAAGTATATCGTTGGATATGATGATGGAATGATTCATGAAACATCATGAAACTAATGAAACTAATTAATCCCAATCCCCTAATTAAATCGGTTGTATGGGAATTCAGCAACAGCAAGGGACAAAAATTATGTATGGGCTCACAGTATGGTAAACATGCGAATTCAGCAACATAGATACATCCCAGCCGCCAGTAAACTAAGACAAAGATGTGAAATCCCAATTGGCAGTGTGGTTTCGGTTCGGTTCGGTTTCGGTTTCTAGTATTTGCTATAGGCCCGGTTCGGTTCATGTTCGGTTTCGGTTCCTGCGGTTCCTGGTCGATTTCGGTTCGGTTCGGTTCGGTGTTTGGAACATTCTACATTGATATTTGCTTTTTTTCCGGGGCCGGAAAAGCAAATACAGATTGCTTCCTGCAAGAGGTTTATTGCTTCCCGCAAGAGGTTTCATGAGCCGCGGCTTTCAAAGAGCGGAGAGAGCTGAACTCGGAAAACCAAAGCTTCCTGAAATTGCCAGTGCATGCAATTTATTATGAAGAAACCCATATTTGCTTTTTTCATTGAACTCAAAAAACAATTACAACATTTACAACTTTTCCAATCAGTTTATTGGGGGAGGGCAAGACGGTTCCGGTTCCTCCGGTTCGGTTTTGCACACGGTTCCAGCGGTTCACGGTTCCTACGGTTCATAGGCTATTTGATTTTCTACGGTTCGGTTCCACGGTTCCGGTTCGGTTCCTGAACCTTACTGAATTGGCAAATTTGATATCCCCATCATTCCCAGTGCTCCATTATTCTTTATCATATGTCCCACTTCCTTTGTCCGATTATTCCCCATCCCCCATTCTCAACGGGGCAATGTTTTTGATACTCTGCATGGCCATATATGATTAGCTGCTTGGTGGTTTCAAACATGTGTTTATTTTCCATAATATATGGGATAATCTGTCCCATTGACTTTCATATTTTTCAAGCTGGTTAAAACCACCAACCAGTTAGCTGCTTGGTGATTTGACATACGTTTTATTTTCCATCCGAGGATGCCCAAGGTCGAGACGTGACTCAGGTGTGACTCAGGTTGATCCCATTGGTCGCGGGTGGAACGAGCGCACAGATCCCATCCTTTCCAGCTCTCAGGGCTATTCTTGGAGCAAGTTCCCCTAGGGCCTGACGCTGGTCGAATCTGGTCAATGTGCCAGTGACCCAAAAAGCTGCCTTGGAGGACCAGGCATTGCAGGTTTTTTCCTGACTCGTTGGCTTTCACTTTCATCCGCAGAGGCAGCAGCCAGCTACCCTCTGGCAATTTCACCAAGCTATGGAAGATATAGCCAACATGAGATATTCATTCGATTCTATTCGACCAACATAGCTTTGGGAATTCAATATCAGTAAATCGTTAAATCATCCGACGAAAATGGATATATATATATATATGTAACTATAGCTATATATATATATAAAGTTGGTTATTTATATTCCAATTGTTTTTAGTTGAATCTCCATTAAATCACCATATTCCAAATATGGGGGACCTGCCAAGACCCCAGGCATGGCGTACCGCTTGGAAGTGACCTGCGACCAAACAGGCGTGGGGGATCAGTGCGGACGCCCAGAACTGCCGCAGTGGTTGTTTCCGGGGCCGGCCCTGGGTACCATCGTTTTGGGGGAAAAACCCGCTGAAAATGGTGAAATGGTTTGCTTTCTTGGTGAAAGCGTGTCTGAAAGGCAACAAGTCACCATTTTTCTGGGCAAAACCGTGGTAAAGCCATCATTTGTGCATTTGTGCTGCTAAAGCCAGGTGAAACTTAGGATTTCTTGCATTTTGCCACCACTTTTCCCCCACTTTTCGGTAGCCTTTCATCCTTCGCCGGCGATGTTTCACCAAGGTTGGCCATCACCGGCTCCACTTTGGAGCTGGGAAACTGGGACACCAGCGCCTTGGTGATGTTCGATGGTTATACCGTAAGTTATGCCCATCTATACCCGTGATTATTACCGTGACTGGATATGTATATATATATATATAACTCTATATATATATATACATATATATTTATACATGTATATATATATAATTTATTAACTATATAATATATACATGTCTTTATTTATATATATATGACATGATATATATATATATGATATGTATGTATGTATTTATATATATACATATATTTGGTTTCTAACATATAACAATTTTCTGTTTACATGGATAGAAGTGATATATATATATAACCATGTTTGTTTATGCCTACGGCGCCATTAACGACCCCTGCGTTTTTGCCATTTTTGCTGATTGGAGGCAAGTTGCTCTTGAAATTGATGCATGCAGAACTGATGTCACGTCACTGGGTTGGGGTGGGGTGGGGATGTTAACGTTCATGTTAACTTGCGTCACATGCACAACTGACGTCACGGCACTGGGTTGGGGTGGGGTGGGGATGTTAACGTTCATGTTAACTTGCGCACATGCACAACTGACGTCACGTCACTGGGTTGGGGTGGGGTGGGGATGTTAACGTTCATGTGAACTTGCGGCACATGCACAACTGACGTCACGTCACTGGGTTGGGGTGGGGTGGGGATGTTAACGTTCATGTGGAAGGAACTGGGAAAGCTGGCCAAAAAGAGTCGACGCTGAAGACCTTGCAAGGTAAATTCAGATGTAACTAATTTTCTCCAACAAAACGAAAAAAAACAATAATTCGTTTCAGGGGTATTGAAAATCGATGAACGTTTCACACGAAACGCACTTTTTGTAGTAGGCCCCAAAGTAACTACGATTTGACATTTTTATCACGTTTTTACAAAACATTGCAAATACCATGATTTGGTGAACCAAGCATCATGAAAAATCAATGAATTACCCCGGGTCGCTAACCGCGCCGTAGCCTTGTTTATTGATATAACTGATATGAATCATATAACAGATAGATGGATGGATAGATAGATAGATAAGATAGAGAAGATAGATAAGATAGATAAGATAGATACGATAGATACGATGGATAAGAAAGAAAATATAGATAAGAAAAAAAATATAGATAAGAAAGACAAGATAGATAAGAAAGATAAGATAGATAAGAAAGATAAGATAGATAAGATAGATAAGATAGATAGGATAGATAAGATAGATAGGATAGATAAGAAAGATAAGATAGATAAGAAAGATAAGATAGATAAGATAGATAAGATAGATAGGATAGATAAGATAGATAGGATAGATAAGATAGATAAGATAGATAAGATAGATAAGAAAGAAAATATAGATAAGAAAGAAAATATGGATAAGAAAGATAAGATAGATGAGAAAGAAAAGATAGACAAGAAAGATAAGATAGATAAGATAGATAGGTAGATTAGATTAGATAGTTATATATATATAGTAACCATGGTTTGTCATGGATATTACTGATATAACCCAGAAGTTGTAGGGGTATATCCCAATTTATGGTGGTTAATGTTAGTAAAGCATTTTTTTAGAAACCACCCATATGGATTGGTTAAAAAAGCACCCGTAAAAATGGTGCTGGGAAGAGCTACCCTCTGGTAATTTGACATAGCTATTGAAAATGACCATTTATAGTGGATTTACCCATTGAAAATGGTGATTTTCCATAGTTATGTTAGCTTACCAGAGGGTAATGGATATCCAATAATATTGGGGTATGATATCCAATGATATCAATGAAAAGCAGATATTGATTGTGATGCAATATGTAGATCCCTTATTAATGAACAGAGAGTGGATTCCATGTTCCTTTGGCAAACCCAATTTCATAAACCTTCCCCAACATCACCATAAATGGGTTCTATAAACCATCCTGAATATATTCATTATCATTTTATGGATTCCAATAGCTAATGGTTATTCATATTCATATTCCATATTGCATCATTGATAGTAGTTGATCGGAGGGATTATTGACAGTGGTAATATGTTTCAATTATCAATCCATGAAACCATTATATGAATATTTTGGAAATCCCATTCGTCTATAGATAAATATGATATGATATGGTCAATGCCATCGCCCTAACATTAAACACCTCCTATTCCGTGGTCCCAAATATGTGTCAAGTGCCTACTAAACCATGGTTTTTGGGTGTTTTTTGATGGGGGATGGGATGAATAGAGAGGGAATTATGATAACTTATCATTGGATAGGAGGTTAGCCATATTCGTTATTTATTAATAGGGAGTGTTCAATATCTTTGTAGCGGGGGTATTCCACCTATTTTTTTTCATTGTGATAAGCTACATCATTTGGAGGGTGGATTGCACTCCGGTGTCATCAAACATCGCTGGAAAATCCGCAAACTAACATCTGTAACGTGGAGAGAGCCACCAAGTATTTATTTGTCGTTATGTAACTACTATTTGAGAAACAAAGCGTAGCTCTATTTTTAGGGAGGGGACTGTTGTGAGCGGCAGAACATTGAGATTTTTATGGCTTTTGTTTTTGCATATCCCGGATTTTGAACGGATCTTGCGAAGGGTTCAAAACATACCTGATGCTAATTTTTGGAAGGGATCAGCCTCTAGAACTTCGACTGTTGAGGTCTACCACATAATAGGGATTACAGGGGTTCATAGTTTCATCATGTTGGCTGTTGATTTTCCTCCTTTGTACATTGGTTCTACATTGATTCTACGTTTCTTTTTATACATTGGTTATACATTGATCTGGGTAAATTATAACGACCTCACTGATCTCCTTCACTGGAATCATGGTTTTTATAGGGAAATCATCCCCTTTTATGGCCCAACAATTCAGGTGCGTGAAATATTATAGTTTACCCATATATTAATATCTATATATATATATAGTAACTCTATCAAGTATATATACACACTATAGTAACTAATCATAATAACTATATAATACATTGGTTATACATTCATCAAACAGGTCTTGAAGGTTCTCTTGATTTTCATTTATCGTTCTGCGTCGTTCAGGTCAAGCCATAAGGCTGCAGACCTCTGAGGAGACTTTTCCGGTTTGGGCCCGGAGCCCTGCGGAGATCTGGAGGGGTTGGAATTGGATGAGCCCTGCGTCCGAAATCAAAAACCCCAATCGGTGGTTGGTGGTCAATGATGGTTAATCATAGTTAATAGTTATTAATAGTGATTAATAGTGATTAACAGTGGTTAACAGTGGTTAATTATCTGGTTGGTATTCAGAGGGGTAGGTATACCACCAACCAGTCATGATTGACTCATGATCATGCTGGCTTTGATTCCAACGGAAATTAGCAGTTGAACAACCTGGAAATTTGAACATACTGTGGATGGAAGAAATCCTGCACCAGTTGGTAGATAGTTTATCCGATTACAATCCCAGTATTTACAGTGCTTCATAGTTGCTGATAGTTATCAACGTGCAGGATTTCTTCCATCCACAGTAGGACTGGACATCCTATACTAAAAATAGGACATTATTGTTTTTTTACTGGTGCCATTGATGATTGTTCTCCATTTTTTTCCTGGCTGATCAATGGGTATTCCGGCGCACGCTCCCACTTTGAAAGTAGCATCTCACACGCCAGTTGTGGATGGGGATGGGATAATCCCCAGTTCTACATGTCTACATGAATGCAATATGGGTTATCAAACCACTTATTCAGTAGGATGCACATCCAAGTCTGCTCAAGTCAGAGCCTCCGCAGTAAGAAAAGATAGTAAGTACTTGTTGAACATTCTTTGGGAGGCATGGAGAGGCGGTATACTTCAATTCACTGAACGATCTGATTCTGAACCGGGGACGGCCTCGCCTCTGTTCCAAGGAAGCACCTGTGTCAGCCGTTGGGGAAACCCAGGGATGTGCTGCTTGCGTTGTGATAAAATAGGTGTCCTCAGACTTGGTTAGCTGGGAAACCCAGATATACAAATGAATGGAGGTGCTTATGGTAAAATTATCGAACTAAATGAGGAATTGTCCATTGCCATGTTTGATGACACAAGAGGGTATTGGTTAGCTTTGTTGAGGCTGTTTTTTTGTTGCAAGTTTTTTAGATGTTTTTGTTGGATGTTTTTTGGTATCTTGGTTTCAGATTTTCACCAGTGTTCTAATTTTCCCGACAGGTCAACTCAAGAGGGCCTTCCAAAATCACCGATGTGCGCGCGAAGCATCCACAGGTCCGGCAGGTCCATACTAAAATCCGCACAGGTGCACTGAATCCCACTGATATCCGCAGAAAATGCCCTCCCTTAATCCCTCTTCAAGTCCATTTTTCAATAGGTCCAAGCTATGTTTTTGCATGTTTTCCCTGGGTTCCAGTGGTCATCGTCCAAACTCGTTTACGCCAAGGCGATTCTGAGTTGTGAGTTCAAGTGCATCATCCTCCGTAGCAGTGGTGAAATCACTTGGGAGGCCGTGCGATGGCGGCGATGGATCCCCCCCGCAACACTTTCGATGAACAGATGGGCCCATGTCTTGGCAGAAGATCGTGCTGGTTCATTGTACCCTCGGGTTATTTAACATAGCCATGGTATCGGTGGCCCATAGAAATAGATGATTTTCCCAGCTATAAACCTCCGTTTATAAGGGATTTTCCATGGCTATGTTAAAGAACCAGATGGCAAATGTTCTGTCAAAGCAAGTCTGAAACATGATAATTACCACCCAACTGTTGAATTTGTTGACACCTCCCAAGAGATAATCCCTTGACTGGCACCCCAAACTGAAGCCTTGACTGGCTCGGGTTCCCGTTCGTGCTGAACAACCCAGGTTCAAGGTCTGGGCTGAACCAGGTTCAATTTCCATTGGGGAAAACCGAAATTGGACTCACAGAAAGTTCTTCAAAGAGATATGAGTCCGACTTGTCCTCCCTCCTGGGTGGATTCCATTCTTGTGCCTGTGAACGCTAAGCCGGCGGCCGTATTTGCTCAAAGGCATAGATTGGATCTGGGGGGGCATGGCGAGGTTGCGAGGGTAGCTGAGTTGCACAGAAGTTGAGCCTGCCTGGGTACTCCCCATGGAAAAATGCGAGTCAAGGAATACCCTGGCCATCTGAATGTGGAAAATGTTGGCCAACCCTTGTGTTGCTACTTTTGATTTTGATCTCAGAGATCTCAGCTGTATATCACTACCACACGTCATTCACACCCCTACCAGATGTCATCCCTTCCATTGAAAAAAATGTTTGTGGTATCATTGCATCAAAAGTTTTTTTAATGCGCATAATCACTCATTTATAATACCATATAATACCCGATTGACTCACTTAGATGTTGGTCGAATCCAATGTTTTTGGTTGGTTTAAGCCATTTCTTGCTCGTTGGCCCACCATTTTTGCTTGCTTCAATGAAATGTTGTTTTTTCTCCTCAAATGGCCAAATCATGTATATAGTCTTGCTATCCCCGAATTTCATGTTGGCGTACCTTGCCTTTGTGACAGTTCCACTGCTCCCCAGAACTCCCTTCACAGGTCCAACGCCCATGAGCTCCGCAGTGAATGGCCCATGGGTGGTGCCGGACGCAAAGAAGGTCACCTATCTGACGGACGTCGAGGGGCAGCCCGGCCACATGGGAACGGTGCCAGAACGGTGGCACCACGTGACAACGGTGGTGGGTTGTTGGATTTGTTGAATGGGGAATGAACGGGGGTTTTCATTGGATATATATATATATATGCATTTTTTCACACCTTCATACATAGAGTGGTATACAATGGATATTAATTAAAATGGTATAATTTAATGGATTATAATGGCGTATAAGGGCATATAGTTGCATATAGTGGTATTTAATTTTTGGGAGCCGTTGACAAGCTGGTTGGTGGTGTCAAATGTTGTTCATGTTCAACCATATTTCAACCATAGAACGGGATGATGATCCCTATAATAGTGACTATATCATATTTCTAGGGTGTGGCTCAACCACCAAGCAGATGTGGGATTGTTCACATACAAAGAAATGGCAGGTATTTCTATTTGTGATGTTGCATGATGTTGCCTTTTCTTTATTGTTAAATCCATCTAAAACTAGTATTGGATGGTGTGTGTGTGTGCGTGGTAGGTGCCAGCTCATGCAGGTATGGGATATTTACATACAAAACTGATCAAAACTGTACCCCAAAAGTGGGTGAAAAGTTCACCGGAAAACCGTTCCCCAGACCGAGTGACTTGCCTGATGCTCTGGAATCACATGGAAGTTGCAGCAACAATTTCAGATTTTTAGGTGCTTTGCTTTTGTAAAATTTGTATGTGTCCCAAGTATTCGAGGTTCTTACTGAGGAAAAAAGGAACAATAATTTTCAGTCACCTATTTTGTTCTCAAATCCTCTAAGAAATATATGCATTCCCTTGAAGTTTCCCAAAAAAAAAGGCGGTGCCATGTCTTTTGGGTTCACCGATCCCACGACCCAGGCACTGGCCCTACTTCTGTAACTTTGTGGAGCTCAGCGAGTGCCTTTCCTTCGCCGTGGAGGGGGATCAGCGGACTGCGCGAAAGGCCCCGGAGCTCATCCTAAAGGTGGGATCTGGAGGGACCCAACGGATCCAAAGGGTTGAGTGGATATGACATATATTTTTTTATATACATAATACCGTACCATACCAGTAGTACCCGCACGAGGCGGGGCGGAAGTTGCCTTAAAGATATATATAAGACCTTTCTCATCTATAGAACTTGCATGCGCCGTGCGCCAGCCAAGCCCGTGCGTGCGTGCACTCTGCGAAAGTTGTGTCCTGCTTCACATGTCACATGTGAAGCTCCACTTCGCACTTCCCACTTCTCACTGCAGTCTTCACACTCCGCACTTCACACTTCACACTCCACACTTCACACTGCACTCTTAAGACTCCACACTTCACACTTCACACTCCACACGTCACACTCCACACTTCACACGTCACACTGCACTCTTCGCACTCCAAACTTCACACTTCACAGTCCACACTTCACACTTCACACTTCACAGTCCACACTTCACACTTCTCACTCCTCACTGCTTTCTTCACACTCACAACTTCACACTTCACACTTCACACTTCACACTGCACTCTTCACGCCCCACACTTCACACTGCACTCTTCACACTCCACACTTCATCTCATCTGAGCCCTTCTCATCTTATCCCAGCTCATCTCTTCTCATCTCTTCTCATCTCTTCTCATATGTCATTTAAGCTTTCATGAATCACTTCCCAGTACTACTACTAATCACTGTCGCAGCCTTGATGCACCCACTCCAATACGATTTACGATCTTCAGCTGCAAAATACAAGAGTATTACGTATGCAGCCGCGGCACCAAGCAACCTTGACGCAGCCATTCCAATGCGATCTGCAGAGACTCAGTTGCAAAACACAATAGAATTACGCGCAACGGCATCGGAAACTGCAGCTCCAAAACCGGATCTCGACGCCAAAGCGGAAAAAAGACGATTTTGAAGCACTTTTTAAAAGGATTTTTAAAAGGAAAATCACTAGCGCCAAAATGGAGAAAATCTGCTGACAAAGCCATTTCGCAGCCTGGATGCAGCCACTCCAATACGATTTACGATCTTCAGCTGCAAAAGACAAGAGTATTACGTAGGCAGCCGCGGCATCAATCAACTTTGACGCAGCCATTCCAATGCGATCTGCAGTGACTCAGTTGCAAAACACAATAGAATTACGCGCAACGGCATCGGAAACTGCAGCTCCAAAACCGGATCTCGACGCCAAAGCGAAAAAAAGACGATTTTGAAGCACTTTTTAAAAGGATTTTTAAAAGGAAAATCACTAGTGCCAAAATGGAGAAAATCTGCTAACAAATCCACTTCGCAGCCTGGATGCAGCCACTCCAATACGATTTACGATCTTCAGCTGCAAAAGACAATAATATTACGCATGCAGCTGCGGCACCATGCAACATTCATGCAGCCATTCCAATGCGATCTGCAAACACAAACTCAAGAAACGCATAGAACTACGTACACAGGAACATCCAGTGTTACAAAACACATTGAAGGAACGAAACGACCCCAGCCGCACCCGCCGCACAGACGAGGTACCTTTCATCGCCGGCTGCAGCCACTTTACACGGAAAAACACAAGGTTTCGTGCTCCGGCTTCCTCCCCACAACATAGCCCATGCAACATTCATGCAGCCACTACAATGCGTTTCGCAGCATCCCGTAGCAAACCTGCACCTATCTACGGACGTGGCAACACCAAATGACAACAATCATGCAGCCATTCCAATGCGATCTGCCACCACAGCTTCCAGAAACGTATAGAACTACGCACACAGGAACAACCACTCGTTGCAAACCACATAGGAGGAACAATTCGCGACAGAAACGACCCCAGCCGCAACCGCCGCACAGACGAGGTACCTTTCATCGCCGGCTGCAGCCACTTTACACGGAAAAACGCAAGGTTTGGTGCTCCGGCTTCCTCCCCAACACATAGCCCATGCAACATTCATGCAGCCATTACAATGCGTTTCGCAACATCCCGTGGCAAACCCGCACCTATCTACGCACGTGGCAACATCAAATGACGACAATGAAGCAGCCATTCCAATGCAATCTGCAACCAGAGATTCAAGAACCGCATAGAACTACGCACACAGACACAACGACTCGTTGCAAAACACATAGGAGGAACAATTCGCGCACAAAACGACCGCAGCCGCACCCGTCGCACAAACGAGGTACCTTTCATCGCCGGCTGCAGCCACTTTACACGGAAAAACACAAGGTTTGGTGCTCCGGCTTCCTCCCCAAAACATAGCCCATGCAACATTCATGCAGCCATTCCAATGCAATTTGCAACCAGAGATTCAAGAACCGCATAGAACTACGCACACAGACACAACCACTCGTTGCAAAACACATAGGAGGAACAATTCGCGCACAAAACGACCGCAGCCGCACCCGTCGCACAGACGAGGTACCTTTCATCGCCGGCTGCAGCCACTTTACACGGAAAAACGCAAGGTTTCGTGCTCCGGCTTCCTCCCCAAAACAGAGCCCATGCAACATTCATGCAGCCATTCCAATGCAATTTGCAACCAGAGATTCAAGAACCGCATAGAACTACGCACACAGACGCAACCACTCGTTGCAAAACACATAGGAGGAACAATTCGCGCACAAAACGACCGCAGCCGCACCCGTCGCACAAACGAGGTACCTTTCATCGCCGGCTGCAGCCACTTTACACGGAAAAACACAAGGTTTCGTGCTCCGGCTTCCTCCCCAAAACATAGCCCATGCAACATTCATGCAGCCATTCCAATGCAATTTGCAACCAGAGATTCAAGAACCGCATAGAACTACGCACACAGACACAACGACTCGTTGCAAAACACATAGGAGGAACAATTCGCGCACAAAACGACCGCAGCCGCACCCGTCGCACAGACGAGGTAGCTTTCATCGCCGGCTGCAGCCACTTTACACGGAAAAACACAAGGTTTCGTGCTCCGGCTTCCTCCCCAAAACATAGCCCATGCAACATTCATGCAGCCATTCCAATGCGATCATGCAACCAGAGATTCAAGAACCGCATAGAACTACGCACACAGGAACAACCACTCGTTGCAAAACACATAGGAGGAGCAATTCGCGCATGAAACGACCCCAGCCGCACCCGCCGCACAGACGAGGTACCTTTCTTCGCCGGCTGCAGCCACTTTACACGGAAAAACACAAGGTTTCGTGCTCCGGCTTCCTCCCCAAAACATAGCCCATGCAACATTCATGCAGCCATTACAATGCAATCTGCAGCCACAGCTTCAAGAACCGCATAGAACTACGCACACAGACACAACCACTCGTTGCAAAACACATAGGAGGAACAATTCGCGCACACACCCGCCGCACAGACGAGGTACCTTTCATCGTCGGCTGCAGCCACTTTACACGGAAAAACACAAGGTTTCGTGCTCCGGCTTCCTCCCCAAAACATAGCCCATGCAACATTCATGCAGCCATTACAATGCAATCTGCAACCAGAGATTCAAGAACCGAATAGAACTATGCACACAGACACAACCACTCGTTGCAAAACACATAGGAGGAACAATTCGCGCACAAAACGACCCCAGCCGCACCCGCCGCACAGACGAGGTACCTTTCATCGTCGCCTGCAGCCACTTTACACGGAAAAACACAAGGTTTCGTGCTCCGGCTTCCTCCCCAAAACAGAGCCCTTGCAACATCATGCACCACTCCCCTTCATGGTTGCCAGTTCCCTTCCTCACCACTCCCCTTCATCATCACTTCTCTTCCTCTCCACTTCCCTTCGTCACCGCTTCCCTTCCTCACCACTTCCCTTCGTCACCACTCCCCTTCATCATCACTTCCCTTCTTCACCGCTTCCCTTCGTCACCACTTCCCTTCCTCACCACTTCCCTTCGTCACCACTCCCCTTCATCATCACTTCCCTTCTTCACCGCTTCCCTTCGTCACCACTTCCCTTCTTCATCACTTCCCTTCATCATCACTTCCCCTCGTCACCACTTCCCTTCGTCACCACTTCCCCTCGTCACCACTTCCCTTCGTCACCACTTCCCATCGTCACCAGTTCCCTTCGTCCACTTCCCATCGTCAGCACTTCCCTTCGTCACCACTTCCCTTCGTCACCACTTCCCTTCGTCACCACTTCCCATCGTCACCACTTCCGTTAGTATCACCACTTCCCATCGTCACCACTTCCTTCGTCACCACGTCCCTTCCTCACCACTTCCCTTCGTCACCACTCCCCTTCATCATCACTTCCCTTCTTCACCGCTTCCCTTCGTCACCACTTCCCTTCTTCACCACTTCCCTTCCTCACCACTTCCGTTCGTCACCACTCCCCTTCATCATCACTTCCCTTCTTCACCACTTCCCTTCGTCACCACTTGCCCATCGTCACCAGTTCCCTTCGTCACCACTTCCCATCGTCAGCACTTCCCTTCGTCACCACTTCCCCTCGTCACCACTTCCCTTCCCTTCGTCACCACTTCCCTTCGTCACCACTTCCCTGTCAAGTCTCACACCACCCTTCATCAAGGTCAAGTCTCAATGTGATGTATTGTTATGTCATGTAAAGTCTCACACCACCCTTCATCAAGGTCAAGTCTCAATGTGATGTATTGTTATGTCATGAAAAGTCTCACACCACCCTTCATCAAGGTCAAGTCTCAATCGCGCACCACCCTTCATCATTTCAAGTCTCAGAATTCTATTTGTCCGTAACACGGAAGTATTGCTTCCCAACTTCCTTTGACCATACCATACCATACCATACCATTGGATTACATTACATTACATTGCATTGCGTTACATTGCATACGTACATAACATACATACATAACATTACATTGCATTACATTGCATTGCATGGCATTACATTACATACATACATAACAAACATACATAACATAACATTACATTACATTGCATTGCAATGCACTACATTTCAATACATACATGCATAACATACATAACATAACATAATATAACATCACATAACATCACCAAATTAAAAACAAAACATAACATAACATAACATAACAATACATACATACCTACATACCTACATACCTACATACCTACCTACCTACCTACCTGCCTACGTACATACCTACATACTATATCATACCATACCATACCATACCATACCATACCGTTACGTTACATTACATTACATACATACACACATACACACATACACACATACACACATACACACATACACACATACATACATACATACTTACATACTTACATAATTACATACTTACATACTTACATACATACATACATACATACTACGTACGTATGTACTAACGTACGTACGTACGTACATACCTACATATCTACATACTATATCATACCATACCATACCATACCGTTACGTTACATTACACTACATTACATACATACACACATACACACATACACACATACACACATACACACATACACACATACATACATACATGCATGCATACATACATACATACATATTTACATACACACATACAGACATACATACATACATACTACGTACGTATGTACATACATACGTACGTACGGACATACCTACACCTACATACCTACATACTATATCATACCATACCATACCATGCCATACCATACCGTTAGGTTACATTACATTACATTACACTACATTACATACATGCACACATACATACAGATCATATGGTGCCAAAAATGACTCTAGGTGGGTTTATGGGGATTGGAGTTTTTTCAGGGGTCCATAGTTGATACCTATGACCCAACCAGGAGAATGGGGATTGGATAATGGCTATTTGTCATGGCTCCTCGGTATCCTGAGTTGATGATGCCAGTGGGGAAGACAACCTGGGCTATGTTGGGGGAATGGCCCATGAATGGTTGCTGTTTCTTGAATTTCCAGGTATTGTCTAGTCTTGTCACTATGCAACTGTTAAGTAGCGCCTAGGGTACGTGGGATGATGATCCAAATTGAACCCAGTTGGGATGAAACCCCACCCCAATCAGAGAAATTCTGGGTAAATAAAAATGCGACCATAGATTGGGCAAAAAAACAACTATGGATGATGCTTAGCATTGAGAGAAAACATCCCAATTTTATTCAACTGTCCATCTCCCCCCCACCTTTGCCGCCACATGCCCTTCAGGATGACTGGCACTTTGTCTTTGGAGGCGATACCTGTGATAAAGGTCCAGGGTCGTTGAGGTGTTTGCAGGCCCTGGTATCTTTGAAAAGGCGATACCCTGACAGGGTTCACCTCTTGATTCTCAGCGGAGTTGGCTTGGAATTTCTGCCTACCTCGCAGAAACAGCTTAGCTAAATTCATTGTCTTCCAATTTTGTTTTGTCAATAGTTGATTTTTTTTTGGTACCGCCATCTTCAATCATTCAACACCCCGCTTCAAAGTTGCAAGTTTTGTTGCTCAGCACGACATGCAGATCCACTTCTGCATCATGGCCGATATACTTGGGGTATCCCTCAGGTTTGAAAGCACCACGTACCCCTAAAGACCAACTATGGTAACTCTCCCGGTTACCTTCAAGTATATTCGATAAGGTTCTTCTTGTCCCATATATTTTGCTCGGTATATTTTTTACGGCATCCCTCCATTCAGTGATCTAATCTTGATTCATATCTTTCATCAAACCTATAGTTACTCTAGTTTTCATCCCACATCATCCAACGGGCTCGGCCCTGGCCACGTGCCTTTTTCAAGGATGGGAAATCGGGACATCAACAAGATGCGCTTGACCTCCGAGTACACAGACCAGGAACTGGCCCTTCTGTCCCCGGAGAGTCCTGCGGCCTACTGGGTGCCCGAAGCACGGCTAGCTTACGAGGGTCATTACAGAAGGGTGGAGTTGTTAAGTCTATGTAATAAAGAGAGAGAGAGAGATATATATATATATATACATATTTATTTATTTATTTATATTATATTATAATATTATTATATATATATTATCGAAATAAGTCTGAACTAACTAAGAGTATAGTTGTTTCCCTTGGCTATAGTCGGAGTGTTTCACAAAAACGACCTAACCGAAATTAAGATTTGATTGTGTGTTGTCGGTAATAAGTTTTATTTTATCACAGGGAATTTGTTTGTTTTACCCACCAGAGTTAGGGTTATACCGATAAATTAAACAAAAACGCGCAGGGAACTTGTTCAAGTTGAATATAAACCTTTCTCCGCTACGAAACATATCAAGCCAGGCAATTTTCATTCAACTAGATCTTTTTTTTGCGCGCGTTTAATTTCTACATATTTCTCCCTGAAATTATTTTGTGGGTCTGGTCGCACGATGATATACTCGTTGCCCATGGACGAGCAGTTATGTACCGCCGTGTAATAATCCCAATGTTTACATCGATCGAGTCCAATTTGGTGTATTTTTAACATGCCATGCAGAAATGTTTTCATAAAAAAACAAATCCATCCTCAGAATCCCGATCACACATGCAACAAGTAATTATCAAATTTCAATATATTTCAAGTTATGTTGGATTAGTTTTTTGAACTCTTTTGGGTATATAGAGATTCCATTCTTCATGGATCTACTCGGCTGGAAATTGTGATGCGCGGTGCCAACTGCCATCCTTGGCGGTTCTAACCGGCTCCCACTTGGATAGTGGCATCATGTCCCACGTATTTGTTATATAACCAATATATCATATTGATTATATAATGAATACGTGGGACATCCCATAGAAAGTCATAGAAATATCTCCAATATGACAAGACATAGCCTGTCTACATCCATCCTTCCCGGCCATGATGGCCATGACGCTTAGGAAGACAAGCGAACCAAACCCTGGGACTATCTGTTCCACCTGGCCGAGTCCGCCGGAGCTCATCCCACAGAGGAAGAGATCCGGGGTTTCTGCACTGGAGCGAACCTGCTAAGATATCACCTCAAGTGCCCCAAGCGGTGAACCAAAACATACGAAAAACCCTCTGCAATTCGTGTTGGGCAAAATGTGAAAAATTTGGTGATGAGGTGCTGAACAGTGAGCATAGCCACCCCAGATTTTTGATTGAAACTGGCCTGGAAAAAGAGAGAGAGAGAGAGATAAACTTTAGATCTAGGAAGCAGCACAGGATACAGATACAGCCCGACATCAACGTGCACATCTGGTCTCATCTGCCACTACAAAATGGTCTCCCCATTATCTTTCCAACATTTGGTGATTTCATAGGGATTCATCAGGCATTTTCCCTGCCTTTCCCAGAATCGGATGATGGAAACAATTGAAATTGTACCGGAAATCTTCATATTTCACAGTAAAAAAAGCTGATGTTTTCACCCGAAATCTTCATATTTCATACTGGTTTAAAACCAAAAATCCATCGAAATCTGAAATTTCCATAATTTTTCCCAGGTCTTCCCATCTCAAATCCCATGTTCCCTGGTTTTTCATCCCATGGAGATCTTCCGCCGTAGGTACGACATGGGCTCGGACGGCGAGTTCGAGTTCCGGCGCCAAGAGCTGGCCCACATGGCTGGCTGCGAGGAGGAGGACATCGGGGATGAGGAGGTGATGCAGAGCTACAAGGAATGGCGGAAGGGCGGGGATGGGAGATTGGATGTTCACTGGTTGGTGGTTAATGATGGTTAATGGTGGTTAATAGTGGTTAATAGTGGCTAATAGTGATTCTATATCTGGTTGGTGGTTTCGAACATGAATGGATTATTTTCATTTATTCTCCATCATATATGTTGGATAATCCTTCCGGTTGACGAACTCCATCATTTTTCAAGATGGTTTAAACCACCAACCAGTTCAGCAACAATGGAAGAAAATGGTTGGTTTGTTTGGGGGGGATAAACCTCAGTATCCAAGAGCAAGAATTTGCAACAATCATATGTTTTTTTGTTAAGCCAACTGGTGAATGGTTGCTTTGCGTGGGCTTTGCGTGGATTATGGAGGGAGATAAACCTCAAAGATATCACCAAATTCTGTGCTGGGTAAACTCACTGGATGATGGTTGGATGATGGGTTTGAGTTTTTAATGATCAAAAACACAGCATCCTGTGACAAATGGACCTTTTGTGCGGTGAGGTACACCCTGCACCCCACGGCCTGGAAAATCCTCCAACAACCTAAGGATGCTAAGATTTTCAAACGGACAATTTCAATCTGCCAGGTGTCAGCAACCAACGGTCACACCAGTCGAAACTTGCAGGAGAGTGTGGCGGAAGGCGGCTTGATGCGCGAGTACCTGCGTTTGGCGGAACTCACGTGTTTGCTGGGCCAGACGCTCTTCGTACATGGTCAGCTGATTGGCAATCACTTCCATCATTGCGGCACCTTGGAAGGTGGAAATATGTGGAAATGCCAGAGTTTCCTGCATGTTTTTCCATGAATTCCATCCAATGTTTGATCCTCGACCTTGGGCTGTTGTATTGGTGGGACAGAGCTAGTGCGATTTTGGCAACATTGGTATGCTTGAACATGGTTGAACAAATATTTTCGTGGAGTCGACACCTTGGGATTGAATGAATTGCCACAAGAATACGGGCTCGCAATAATTTTGAAGATGGTGCTTGGGTCTCAACCTTTCACTGTACTGATGGGCCTCGACTAGTGAAATGCCCTATGCCTATGCACAACTGATAGTTCGCTCTATCACCGCATCTAATGCCCCCCACCCCACCCCGTACTGGGACGCATATGGGGTAAGTCCCAGTGTTACATATGCTATTGTAGGCATATATCTTTGAGTTAATGTCAACCTCGGACGAATAAGACCCCACTTCATAAGCACGGTGGGCATCCGCAAACCAGTGCCAATTTCCACTTTGAATACTTCCCCCCTTTGCCCCTCACTGTATGAATGAACATAAATGAACCACAGTATCCATGGATTTTCTGTGGTAGTGGTTTTCTACAACAATTTTCGATCCAACAGCCCAGGCACTGACGGGGTTGCCTGGTCCGTGAAATGCGTGCCCAACGACAAAGTCGATGGCGGCGTAGAGATTGAGGAGGACTTGAGGAGATGGGTCGAGAAGTTGAACACCTGGGTGCCTCGGAATTTTAAAGGACAAAAAACATTGTTTACAGCCACTAAAAAGGGAATGTCCACCGGCAAAAAAGTGGATTTATAGAAATGATTTATAGTGGATTATAGTGGATTGATATTATCAAGTTGGTGAACATAACTTCAATTTGGATTACGTTAAGCATATCATAGCATATCTATAGTTTCTTATGGGGACTAGCTGCGGGGCTCTGGGGCACCACCTTCCATGGGTGAACAAGAGCAACATCAGAAATGACATGTGGACTTTCAAGCGAGCGAAACATCCATAAATATGCACATAACAAATCCTCATATTTAATTACACATAGACATACATAAAGATGGGCATACTCCATTCAAGAGTTCATTACAGTATTTTAGAATGATGAGGCTTTAGGAATACAAGAGAGTTATTTGCAGTGTTTTATAGAGGTGCACTTTTCATAGAAGTTATGCACGTTTCGTAGGAGTATTGCACGTTTCATAGGAGTTGCGCATGTTTCAAAAGCCGCCTAATAACGTTCTTGTTCAACTGCGTCCCAACTTGGAACTCTTAAACCACAAGAAAAGACGAACTCTTAAACGAAGTATACCGATAAAGATATATACATGCCATGCGTATTCAGATGTGATATGCTACATATAATATGTACTGCAAATTCATATAATATCCCATCATTTTTATTCACCCTTACATGTATGTATATATACCATAGTATCATTATTATCCATTATTAAATAATGTATATATAAAATATGTAATAATAGCCATATCCATCATTACAGCATGGGAAATCCCATCATTATTATTATTACTATTTTTATTATTATTATTTTTTTAAATTACTATTTATTATTATATTTATATACAAACTATTAATAAATCCAGAAATTATACGATATCCATCATTATCCATCTATCCATCATTATACACTGTATTTATATATATATATATCCATATTATTATTTATATATGGATGATAATGGGTATTTATCCATGGTATAATATATATTTATACATTTATATATTACATATCATAGTTATGGGATATTATTACATTACATTATGGGATTAATTATATATATACCATAGTATCATTACTACCCATCATATCATCCTTACATAATGTAAATACCATCTGCTTATTTAACATCGCCATGCAAAATCACCATTTTTAATAGGTAAACCATCTATTTCTACGGGCCATTTCCCATGGCTATGTTAAATAACCAAAGGGTATATCCCACTAACATTCCCATGATTTTCCCATATAAATCCAAACTTAAACCTCCATTTCTAGTGGATAAATGATATTTCCATAGATTTCCCACTAATATTACCATGTTTAAGAACGGTAAACCATCTATAAATGGGACATCTATACCATGGCTATGTTGAATCAACCTCCATTTTCCTATGATTTTCCATCGCCAAGGCGCACAATGACGTGGCTGCCTGGATGGCTGAGCCCACCTGGCGAGCGTCGCCCCGCGACGCCACCTACGAGGCCTGGGCGCGGCGCGCCGGCGCGGAGCTCATCGCGTATGGCACGCCGGCCAGCCATGTGCCATCCGTGGTGCACCTGGGGCGACAAAAATGGTGATTGAACTATTCGAAATGCTGATTTCACCATGATTTCACCATGATTTAACATGATTTAAGCAGTAGAACTCGTGATTTAACATGATTTACCATTATTTACCATAATTTAACAATGATTTATCATGATTTAACATGATTTGACTCTCAGAAATGGTGATCTCAGATGCTTTTACCATGATTTAACCATCAAAATATGGATGCCACATGATTTAAGATGATTTCACCATGACAAATGAGAGTTTGACAAGTAGAAATCGATACAGTAGAAATGGTGATTTAAGCACCAAAATGACTGATTTAGCCATGGAACATAGGCGTTTAAGAATTGGAAAAGGTGATTCATGACAATTCAATGGGATATCACGGGTATTTAATGGGATGATGCCTGCATGAATTCGCCATTTGAAGTTTTATCATTAAACACGGAGATTTAAACATTAGAAAAGGTGAGTTATGGTGATTTAGTTGGACATCTATGGCCGATACTGGTCAATTTATGGTAATTTATGGTTGTTTGAAAATGCTAGGGAAACAGCATTACATCCCCTGGTTAAGTTTATCATCATGTTCTCTATTTGAATTTTACGATTAAAACATGTGGTTTACGATGATTCAATGTCATGTCAGATCAATGGTGGTATTTTATAGGATGCATAATGACCAGCTGTTTCTAACCCTGCCACCATGAAAGATTATTGGCCGACCCCCAACCAAAAAACACAAAACTGAGCGTTGTACTTTTAGAGCGTATAAAGAGTGTTGTTTGTTTTTGGGATATGAACGGTTATGGGAGAATAAATTAAGCCCACGAATTGTCGTATGTGGAAATTCTTATTTTGTAATAGGATTGGAACAAACATGATATCAGCAATAGGGAATAATATATTGGCAGTGATGTATTTATGTAATCATGCAGTTGTTATTCTTGTGGGTTGTGGGAAATCAATTTGGTCAAGTATCGCAGAATCATTCGGTCATGGTCGCTATGTGATACTGTTCAAAGAACATTTCCCAAATGGATAGCACGGGTTGACTGCACAATCTGTTTAAACATTTCAGATTATTTTAGTAGGACTAAGTAGGATTTGGTGTTTTTTCTATGCTTTCCTATTTCATGCGTTTGTTTATTGCTGCCGCATCCTGTCATACAAAGGTATACTTGGGGTTGGGATCTGGGTATTAGTCATGAGTTTGTTCACTGATTTTTCCCGAGCTCTCTGCGGTGTCAAGGTGGCATGGAAGTGGAATACCAGAAACAGATCAACAGATGGCAGCACTTGAGAATTACCCTCTGGTAAACTGTCCCATAACTATGGAAAATCACCATGCTATTAATGGGTAAATCCACTATAAATGGCCATTTTCAATAGCTATGTTCGTTTACCAGAGGGTATAGTGCAGACTACTCTAGATTGTGAATGATTGTCATGGTATGCTGTCAGCACTATAGATTGTCAAATGTAAATTCGTTCTGAAAGAATAAATCAGAATAATTCATCTAAATTAATTTTCCATAGCTATGTTAAATAACCAGACAGTATATACAAGCATGGATGGTTTCATACTAAGCATGATCAGCCAACAGCCATTGTTGCCCTGGTGTTTCAGAACAGCAACCCCTAGTGACTAGTAAGGCATGTTCTTTCATAAAATCTTGGTGCAGTTCAAGGGAAATCTCATGTGGGGATGGGATTTGCTGATCTTGCTGATCTAAAAATGGAGAAAAATCGACCTGGTTGAGCTGAGGTATTGCAGGTGGTTGGAGGACAACTGCATGCCCAAGCAGTATCCGCCGGATCTCTTGGGTTTTCTCGTCTCCCAGGGCGTTTCACGTGTCATCGTGGGCCATACGCCCCATGGCAACTGCCCCACTGTGATCCCGCACGAGGGGCTGACTGTCATCATGGGCGATACCAGTCCCTTGCCGCATGGAAGATTGTTCAAGGTTATCCAAGGGTACCACGCCAAGGCTAGCCACCAAGCCGTGGTAGCTGGTTAACCCGGCCATAAAGTGAACCAAATGGGAAGCCACCCATTCACCCCCTTCAATGCAGGATTATGGATTTCTACTTGTGGGATCACCATTTACGAGATCCTCCAAGTGCCCAGGCTACAGTAACATGAAGTCGGACCTCGCTTACCCCGGGGACAATCGTGGCGACGCGGTCTGTGAAATCGCTATCTTTGACGACCAATGTGTAGTGCGGGGACGCACCGGAGCGACTGCTGAAGGCCGACCACGTCAGGCGTGACTGGCTGGGAAATGCTGCAATAAATGGAGGTTTGAATGGGGAACATCATCACATTATTTGTAGATGATGGATTTCCAATAGTTAATTTTTCACTTAGACCTTCCAATATAAAAACGGCATTTTGTCAGGGTCTATGTCAATTTAGTGGAGGGAAAATGATTTGCTTGGAAAATCTTGGTGCAGACGTGGTTGTTGAGTTTGTGCGAGAATGCCCCGCTAAGAACTTACTGTACCCGTTGGGCAAGTGAACAGGCATCCCCACTGTCCTTCGACTGTTGCATTATGTGCGTATCTGTGTGTTTCTCGGGGTATGCGTACCCCCAGGCCATGTATTTCTCCATTCGAAACGGCTAAGTTTGGATGATTTGGGCGTCCCTATCTTCGGAAACCTGTTTTTTTATGTTTTTTTTTTGTGTTGAAAGCACTGGCTCAAGGGATGTGTTGTTCAACCGTTTTTTGTTCTCTCCGGCTTTGCTGATTCACATCCACCCTCTGGTAAACTGTCCCATAACTATGGAAAATCACCATGCTATCAATGGGTAAATCCACTATAAATGTGCCATTTTCAATAGCAAACTGTTAAATTACCAGAGGGTATTCCGTAGGTGTTCGGCACACCACTCGCTGCATGAACGGTGCTGCCAGGTGGTTCACTATGTGGTGACGGAGTCCAGTAGTGCGGGTGATCCCCATATCGGTGTCATTCAGCCGCCCAGTGCCAGTGTACCATTAGATGCTTGGGCTGAGTCAAAGCGTTTCTTTGTTGAATTGTGGTCATTTGTGGTCCATATGATTGGGGAAAATCCACCATGTTTATCAAATTTTGGGAGAATCCATGGGAAATAGATCGGTTTGTCTGAAATTAAACAGTACTCAATAAACCCGGCAACCATGTCAAATTCTTCGACCAACCTAGGAAAGCAGCACATCCAATAAAAAACATATAAAATCCATGTGCTGATTCCTGGATGATTTCCCTTTAAAACCTCCATGCCATTGATGGTGAATTTTCCAGCCGGGTTTGATTACCCGGTAATTCAAGCTCTTGGAGTCCTGGAGCATGACATAGATCTTGACATATCACAACTCACGCAGGATGCCTGTTTCTTCGTGAAGGCGTGTCTGCCTGCGATGGAAGGTAAAGATGCGAGATATTTGTTGTGCAAGGTGTGGCCTTCAAAGTCGATTCTTGTGGGATTGGATGTGTTTTCAATGGGAATTTCAGGATCCTAAAAATGGACGTACTGTACCATATAAGATATATAAGGCCATATTTTGCTGGGATATTCCCTTATATAGGCCTTATATATGGTAGGTACCACCAATTTAGGTTCCTGAAATGGCCATTGATGTTTGTGACTTTAGGGAGCTGGATCCAGGCATGACGAATACAATACGAATACATCTCCGAGGATCATATTTTGATGCATTCTTTTCGGATTTTGGTGCCCCGGAAAGCCTTGGTTCAGCAAGGCGGCATATTATAGGATTTACTAAATGCCCCTGATTTACTCCAATCTCCCATTCACCAAGGCCTGATGAAATTGGAGTTTCAGGATGGGATTTCGCCAGTGAAAAATCCCCAAGGGATCAATCCATTGGCGCAGGTGGACGGTTTCACCAACACCTACCAGGAAGAGTCACCTGCTGAAGTGCTGCGCGTTTTCGGCAGCCAGCCTCCTGGCGTTTGTTTGTAAAATGGGAAAATGGATCGTAATTTATGTTCTTTCAGAGGCGATGTTCCCGATATTATATATATATATTGTATTATTATATACAAATATTGGAAGAGAAGAACAACTAGCATCTCTGTTGTTGATATGAATGTATCTCCAAACATAGGATATAAATGGATATGGCGTGATATAAAGCCGACACACACGGGGAACCTAGCCCGCAACAAACGCATTAACATGTGGTATTCCTAGTTGTTGAGCCTATTCGAGGAGTTGGAATCTCTCCAGCTTCTTGGCTTCCAATCTCAGACAACTTGATCAAGCTAGAGATGCAGTGAAGTATCACGTGTCAATCAGTTGCTGTGCATCATGATAACATGAACAATGTGCATAATATATTTTATTACGCAAATGTTTTTTACTTATAATATATATATATATATATTATTATTATTATATTATATATTATATATATATGCATACCGTAATTATACGTGTTCTACTTTCACATATGTATAATCTATATATGAATTACTCTATCAAAGACCATCAACAATAGAAGATTCACCACGAACCAGCCCAGCTCAGGTGTCCATTACCAGCTCCACCATCAAAAATCAGCTTAGCCATACATCAACAGTTAATCACCATCTATTTCCTGGTGAAGCCCTAATTTTGATTGTTAACTGGTTAACTCCCTTTTTTTGCCAATGCAAACCTTTTTTTTAATGGATAACTTCCAATGTTTCCTGGTGAAATCCAATTTGATGATGAGCAACTCCTTGTTTCTAATGGTTAACTTCCCATTGTTTACTGGTGAAATCTCAATTTTTACTGATTATATAATTTCATGGTGCACTCCTTATTTCCATTGGTGAACAAACCCCATGTGTTGCACCAAGGGGTTTGACCATGTTTGACCCATCGCTCCGCGGAAGCAGGTCCGTTCTGAAGGCCAATGCCACGACCCGCAAGCGTCTCACCTCGCACGGCGAGGAGTTTGGCGCCAGCTGCAGCGCCGAAGGCGACGTGCTGGAACACATCTTCCGGCGGTGCCAGGGCCTGGTCAGACAAGTTCACCAAAGTGAACATACTCAACGAATCATTAAGTATTTCTGGGGATTCAAAAATTGAAAGTATATAGTCATATTCATAGCTATTGGGATTTATTGGGATTATAACCAACTATCCTGTGATGATTAATGGAAAAATCATGGGGATACTCATTGGGATTAGGAGCAATACAGTGGTTTAATCTATGGCTCAACTTAAATTAATTGGAATTATAGCCAGCTATATGGTTATGATTATTGCGACTCAAATGAGATAGTAATTGGGATAATCATTGGGATTTTTCGAAGCAACTGATGATTTCACCATTAAAAATGGAACATGAATAGGAATATGAATGGGAATATAACTGTCTTGTTAAAAACAACTTGTTATTAAGATGACTCGTGGGATCAATTTGTTGGTGCGATTCAATGGGACAAGAATTGTTTTTTTTGGTGTGTGTGCCCTCCTAGTGCTCAAACTTGGCTGGAAAATTCCTCAATGGTCGGTGTTTCAGGATCATCCCACGAATCGCAAGTCCCCAATGGCAATGGATTTTATGGCTTATCCTAAACATGAGGTATGACATGTATACAACTTGTAGGGTATATACTTATGATTATACTTATGTTTGTTAGTAAAACCCATTGACTAGTTCAGTAACATCTAACTATCGGGCACCACCATTTTATGGGGGAACCGTTTTGGGCTGTTCGCAGCAAAATTCAGCTGGTGTATGGCTGGATGTTCATCCCGACATCTATAGTTCCAGCCCAATCGAAACTCCATGAATCGCCATTTTTTTGGCGGTGAATCCCCCGAAATCATCATTAAATCAGCCATATCAATCCCACATTAATGTCCTCATTCTTTTTGGTACCATGTTCCTCGGGTTTAACATAAATATTCCCTTAACTAGTTGGTTATTTCAACCCCATTAACATCCATTAACTATAGTTTGTTCTCTAATCCATAAATCCAACACTTCACCAAGTGATGTGCATCAACTTGGCGATCCAGCCTGGGGATCCCGGGCAGCCCAGGCTGGACCGTGATCACGATGGTGTCGTCACGGCCCATGAGCTCCTGACGGCCTGCAGTGATCCGGAAGTCCGCCGGGCCTTGCAGTGGACCTTTCCCGACACGTGTTTGGAGGAGCCACTGTTGAGGGCTGGTGGAAAGCGCTTTTCGGAAAAGCGACGGAAATGGAAATCGTGGGAAAATCCCACTGAATGGAGGTTTTTAGCTGGGAAATTCATGGAACTAAATGGGTGGTTGTCCAGCAATGATGGTGGAAATCATCTCAAAATGTGTGTTTAAATTCATCTAAACACCGAAAGGATTCTAAATTGCAAATGATCTTAAACCAGGCTTTCCAGCTTTGATTGAGAGTTCATGATTACCTGTTTGCTCAGCCCGACCGATCAGGTTTCATGGTTTCCTGTGGCAAATTCATGAATTGTTCGCTGGAAAATTGTTCAGAGATATAAGCTGTGTTTATGATGTTCCTATTGTGGGAAATGATGGCCAACCGACTAGGGAGCGGTTGATGAATCAGTGTTGTTCTTTTCTTTGGGGTATCTTCAGCAACTTTACTTTTGATTTATTGATCCATGTGATGTTGGAAGAGATACCTGAGCCTGGAACAACTGCAGCTATCCCATTACAACTTTACCATAAACGGAGGAAATGCTTCGAATATATTTTTTGAAGAAAAATTCACGATTGTGTCAAATTCAGTGACATATAATAATAAATTTATTCCCTTGAACTTCAAAAGCAAGCATTTTCAGATGCTTCTGTATATCTACACACCTATGATGTTTTTGTTTTATCCAGTCCGCACCAGGATGTGTTCAGGGAGTTGGACGCCAATCAGGATGGTATTGTCACCTTGCACGAGTTTCAAAGCCGTGTGAAGCGCAGCTGAAGGGACAAAAAGACATGACCTTTCGCACACCATGGGTGGGATCTCTAGGCGCAAGATATCTCCAGGACTCACAGGCACCCCAATTGGATGTGACATGTCAGTCAAATTCATGTGTATGCCGGAATGACAACAACTGAATTTTATCACTTATATTTAGTTATATATTATTTATTATTATTTCCCATGATTTGTTTTCACATCATATTACCTATATATATACATATTCCATATATATATATATACACATATAATGTTAGTGAGGCAATAGTGAACCACCATGAACCACCCATATGGTTTGATGGTTTATGCCATCCATAAGCATGGTACTTCGGGATGGTGGACCCTATTGCTTTATCCATATTCCAATGGATATCCCATCAACAGAGCCATTCATTCCCAAATAATTCTCAGTAATTCTCAATCATTCCCATGAATTCCTATTAAATCCCATTAAATTCCCAATAATTCCCACATATGTCATATTAGTTGGTTCTCGTGATCACCTCCTTTTCAGTTCGCAGGCCATTCCGAACCGCTGCTGGCATGGGAGGACGACTTCCGTTGTAGCCTTTACCATGGGAATCTGGACATCTGAGTCGTGACCTCCTTGAGTCGAGATAGCGATGGAGAAAGAAAAATAACCTGCAGGACATACCCTCTGGTAATTTGACATAGCTATTGAAAATTGCCATTTGTAGTGGATTTTCCCATTAAAAATGGTGATTTTCCATAGCTATGTTAAATTACCAGAGGGTATCAACTCTCGGAGATGGTGATGGAGAAATTTGGAGAGAGAGAGAGAGATATCATGAGAATATCATTGGGATATACTTTGATTGAACAACGACAAGTGAATTTTTAACCAGTGATTTAACCATAAAAAAGGGGAAATTTCCATGAAAGATTTATTGCCAGATCATATGAGGTAATCGGATACCACTTTCCAATTTGAATCCAATTTGGGGTGTGTTTGAATATGGGGGATTCAGCTCTCGGGAAAAGATGAATCAGTGGATTTAGGGGATGCCATCCTAGAACTTGAGACAAACGCAGACGGGGCCACTTGAGATTTCATATGAGATGACCATTTGGACTTTCTAATAGGACATGGTTTTCTTGTTTCGCGAAAAGTGCGACATGTTTTACTAGGTGTCAATGGATTGGTTGCAGGGAACATCTACAGGAAACCATGGTTTTTACCATCCAAATATAGGGGTGTCCGCTTAAAATTCTCCCTTTTAAACTCAATGAAGTTGGCCTTACCCCCAGGTGAAAGCCATCAACATGGAAAAGCCCCGAAGGAAATGGACCTTTTAGACATCCAAAAAAGGGGAATTCTTGCGGATTTGCCGTGTTTGATTCATTTTGATCGGAGTGTATGTCAGCATGACATTTCTGTAACATCCCGTTAAATATCCTATGAACTACCATGTTTTGCTGTTTTTTAGCATAGAGCATTTGTATGCATGTGTAAATTCCTGCAAAATGTTTATAAAAAGGGAATAAGTGATTCGGAGTAATGATTATCTGTATTATTATCCGCATCAATCATATGTTAATCATATTAACACCATTGAATAGTTGTTCATAATCCATTAATAATAACCGTTAATAACCAAATAGTACCCTTTTGGTAAACTCACATAACGATAGAAAATCTCTACGCTAATAACAGGTCCATGTTCCATATTTAAAAGCAAACTATTAGTTTACTGAAGGCTAACCATCAATAACCGTTAATAACCATTAAGAACTATTCACAACCAATAGTAACCCATAGAAACCATCAACAAGCGTTATATCTTGTAATAATCATTAAAAACCATGATATACCATGATTGACAAGTAAGAAGCATTGCAAATCATTACTAATAGCTTATAACCATGGTATGATTCATATGATTTCCTGAGATTACCATGCATATCCTATATTCTACCATGATGGTAACCATATTCATAGCTGGTAATATGGTTATCCCATTCTGGATATATGGTACTATATCCAGCTATATTCTATTCTATTACCTTACTAACCATAGCTGGATTCATAGGAAGACCATAGCTGCCATAGCTGGGGCATTCATCAGATCACCTGAGATCACCCCTCGTCGCATAGCCAGGACCTGCATGCAGCCCTATGGCTCCTCACTGAGAACGAGGTGCGGACTGGACAAAAACGTTGGAGATTTCATGTGGATTTAATGGGATATGAACGGAGTTGAATTTGGAGTTAGTGAGATTTAATCGGATTTAATTGGGAGTTAGTTGGCTTTTAATGGGATTTTATTTGAATTTAATTGGGAGTTGAATGGAATTTGATGGGGATCTCTGGCATTTTGGTAGTGTCTCCAAACAGCTTTGTTGGTTTGCAACTGGCATAATAAGAGTGCGTAGCTTTGTGGTAGATATTCGTGGAACTAGTTGGGACTCAGGAGCACGGAAACATGCGCGTGATTCACGTGGTTGTGAAGTTGTTTAATGTTGGTTCAATGTTGGTTTCTTAAGAATACATTTTCAGATTGAAGTCCGGCAGTCCTCTGAAATCCATAAGATGCTGCTTCGTAACCTTTGGCCAATTTTGGGCAGACTCATAGCTCCGTTCTGTCTCCATAAGCCGTTGTTCTCTTGGATTTGGCACGCTGTGTTTTTGTTTTTGCTGCCCAGATGTAGAATTAATTCCATGTGTGCTCACCAATATCACGAGAATAAAGAGCACAATAAAACAAGATAGTATAGGCAGTTTATTACATTATTACCAGTAACTAGTTTATTGGGATTAATAACCAGTCTGATTACTTTCATATCATTATTACCAGTAACTAGTTTATTGGGATTAATAACCAGTCTGATTACTTTCATATCACCGGTTCATTTAACCACCAGCCGCACGAAGTACACAACTATGATTATGATTACCACTTTCTCCTGTGAACGGACTCCCAAATATATATATATGTGTGTGTGTGTGATAGTTCCGATTAAATCCCAGTTATATAGTTACACCCCAATCACATCTCGTTAATAGTTGAGTTGTATTCCCATGTATTCACCATTTTGAATGGTTATACCACCATTAAGTCCCATAGTTTGTTAGTTCGATGATTTTCCCAGCGAACGAAACCTCCATTTACTTCGAGGAGACCATTGGAACCACATATTCGTTCAACCTTTATGAAGATCCATTCAATCCCATGAAAATAGTCCCATGACATTCCCATAATGTTTATGCTTAAATCACTTTTTTAGTCACTACCTTAAAGGTATGTTTTCTGGTTATAATCCCAATGAATCAAAAAAAAATACTTACGGTATGAATGGTATGAATCCTAAGTCATACCCCCTGGTTATGACTAACAGTTCGCCATGGTTTTTCGATGGCCCATAGAAATAGATGGTTTTACCGTTCTTAAAAATGGTGATTTTCTATGGCGAACTGTTAGTCCTAACCAGATGGTATATACATCAATAACTCAATCACCATGACTTGTCACAGTTTCGACCTGGACGAGCTGCACATTCGACCGTGGGGTCACCCGGAACCTTTGGAACTGGGGAAAAAAGTTGTTGAAGCGCCCGTCAAAGCTGGATTTTATGGTGATTCACGGGGATTTAACCAACAAGAATGTGGATATTGAGAAAATAACATTGAATTATCCTTTGGCAATTGATAACGTAGCTATGGAAAATCACCATGTCTAGTAGGTAATTCATCTATAAACAGTCCGTTTTCGGGAGCTATGTTCAATTTCCCCGGAGGGTATTTGTTTGGAATGAACACCGGTTATCTGTTCCAGGGTAGGGGTATCCAACGTGTGTTTATGTTCTGCTTGAGGAATCCCAATTTGTCCAATGTCAGTCGCCGCAAAGATCTCGGGATGATGATGTATCAGTACAATGTCGTGCCCCCCTAGCTATATAGAAGCTGCTTTATTGCCAATCCAACTAGAATTAGAATCACCATAAACCCCAGTGATTCGAGTTATAAACCTACTTAGCTCATAGAAAAACAGGGGCACCCAATTTTCAATGGATTGGTTTAAGGGAAAAATTTTAACTGGAAAGCCCTGGAAAACCCCATATTTAATGGGAAAATCTATGGTTTCCTTTTCCTTAAACCGGCCTCAAACGTCGTATCTCTCGGGGCGTTTTGAGGCGCGAGAGACAGAGTGCCATCAGCTTCAAGGCAACCGTTTCCGTGTCAGAGGCGCGGAGGGGATGATTTGAAGTGATGTCAGGGTGCATCATGGTGGATATGCTGGGAAAAGTATGGAAAAGTTGGTGAAGATAGTCGTTTTCCATTGGGAAATTCTATGAAATGCTATGGCATTTAAGTTGCATGATTTTCGTCACGATGAGAAGACTCATCGCGGAGTGATGGCAACGCTGGACTGATAAAGGGTAACATTGTCCGCAGATCTGTGAGGCTGCAGGGTCGTTGAGGAGAGCTTCACTGAACTGATAAACTGTCGGTGAATCAATGGATCCATTTTGATGAAAGATGATGAAAGTAAGGGCAAAGCACCAATAATCAGTGGTCCATGTCTATGAAATTGGGTTCAACAGAAGCATTCCCTGGGGGTAGAAGATGTTAGAAGCTAATTTTAGAGGATGGATTTGTTCGTATGATTTTCATTTGTTTCAACTTACAAAAGTGGCCTGCAACGTGAAGTATAAACGGGTTGATGCGATTCTTTAATACCGTATCCCTTTTTAAAGCCAATCAAGCCTGATGGTATACACAATATTCGGGTTTGACCCATATATATCGTCATATGATGTCATATGTTTTTATTTTTTTGGTTATAAATCCAGAAAGAAATACCAAATGACAGTCGCATTCACCAGGTCGCTTGCATCAAATGAACGGCCAGATCCTGCCATGACTTAGGTGCCACACCTGGGGCAGACGGCCGCTCACTCAGCTCGGTGAGATCCCGCTCAGTGATGGTTTTCGTTTGGGCCATGTTCAGTTACTATATTTATTATATGGCGATTAAAGATAGTGATATATATGATGTCCCATGGTTTAATATATGGCTATTAAGAGATGGTTATATATCATGTCCCAAGGTTTGATATATGGCTATTAAAGATAGTCAAAAATGATGTTATATGGCAATAGTTTGATGGTTTATACTAGGTCAATCTTGGATGGATAGAAACTAATCCTTTAGTCTTTTGGTTTCAATGGAATTATCTACGTTCACCAGCAAAGAGTTTATTCTTTTTCCAGGCTGTCTAAGTTTGGCCATGTATACATTTATATGGCTATTAAAGATGGTGATGCCCCATATAGTGAGCTGTTAAATTGCCAGAGGGTAAGCAACCACTTAACTATATGGTAAACTGACCCCCAATCATGCTTGGTTTGTCATGTCGCTTCAATGATTAATGAGGAATGTTCTGCGATAATTAATGGTAATTATAATGAATGATGGTTTAACCGTTTAACCTCGAGAGCTAACCAGGATGGATTAGTGCGATACAGTTTTCCATAATATACCAGTAATAATCCAGTAATAGTAATAATAATAATCCACTATTAGTGCTAATTGGATTGATTATTAGATAATATACCAGTAATAATAATCAATCTATGACCCACGCAATCATAAACCATCCCCATATCCCCATTTTTTGGTTTTTGAAACTGGGTACGGTACTTTGCGCATTTGGGATGGTTTTTGACGTGACCTTAGGCATGGTTGCTTAAACTGGGTTGGTTTACTATTGGGTTTAGCTCATTAGTAACTCTCAGACAGCTTGAAAGGATAAATGTACAGTTCAATTTTCAATAGGCTTCCAAGGCAATTGCTGAATGGTGTTTGCTGATATGTGTGCTTTCCTTAGGAACCATGTTGAAGGGACAGTGATGATCGAGTTTTTGTCAAAAAATATTGCCACTTTTGCTAGCTTGTTTTTGCTGGTTTGCCTCCAGCATGTTCTTGGATTTACTTCTTGGGAGGATTGCCAATCGAAATATACCCTCTGGCTATTTAGCATAGCCATGGGAAATGGCCCATTTATAGAGGTTTACCTATAAAAAATGGTGATTTTCCATGGCTATGTTAGTCCTAACCAGATGGTATATCCAAATGAATGATGCCGGTTGGAATAGGTGGCTTACCCCCAAGTCATCCATATGGATCCACTGGGGGAAACACTCGTTACACATGGGGTGAGCAAACTGGCTGAAGCCAGTGAACTCAGCTACCACGTTGTAAAAGTCAGATGGAACTGGAAACAAAACAGCGCGTTATCACATTTACACCTGATTGAATTGATGACGTTGCTACATCAGAATTTGATGTGTTAGTTCTAGGTTGAGATGCACGAATCCCAAAACCGTGTTTGAAATTCAGACACCCTACAAAAGGCGCCCCATACTTAGCTAAGTTGGTTTATAACTCCAATAACCATGGTTTATGGTAGATATATCATCTATACTATACTTACAATTACAATGGTTTATAAACCAACTTATAACTGGGTCACCACCTTGTACGGTATGTCCCTATGGTTCCATGCAGCCTAGGACCTGAAGAGAGATTTGTGGTGGACACCTGAGGACTGGTCGAGGGGTTGATCTAAGGATTGTCCAAGCTTACCCACCATGTCTTTTAACATGTTTTAACCCCTTCAGAAAATACAGAGAGATATGGAAAAGCCGTTGTTTGTAGATCACATTTTCCAGGGAACCCATAGTTTCATTTTTCGTATGTTGCAATGTATGTTTGCTGGAGGGTGATTTTTCCAAAGGGGGGGCTGATTGCAAGAGCCTGGCGAGGCCACCCAAGTCGGGCGGGCCAAACCCCAAGTCAAGCACCAGATACATGTGGTTCTCTGGGTCTGCAAACGTGAACTATATCATATATTGTTGATATGAAATTCTATGTGTATATTAACGTCTATGCAGCATGCAGCATGCATACATACCATTACTTACATACCCGTATTGAGTACAAATAACAATGAATATAAATGAATCTGAATTATATATATATTAAATATATATATATTATATATACATATAGTATAGATGATTTTATGTTTACATGGCCATTCAGCCATTCATGATGTGTTATTCTACACCGTATCCTCTTTGGTATCACCGGTGCATGAACCGCGGAGATCTGGGAAGGATCACACCGGCCCAACGTTTCGTTGCTTCAGACAGGGACCAACCAAAGCCAACGGCGAATCAGACATGGACCAAAGTTTCTACAGTTATGGCCATTTATTAGTTATAACTGGTTAAATATAGGATTATACATTCTATAAATGAAACTATAAGTACTTATAACTGGTATTTCGGGCCATAACTGTAATGATACCAGCATATACGCCAGTCACGCTTGGCACACTCAAGCGCAAGATTCTCCCCATCCAGCACCTGGATCAGTTTCTGCAATGCAAACTTAGGTTCCATGGTGAAACTCGAGCACTGCTTGGCAGCAACCAACAACCCCAGCTGTAGCACTACTCAGCTGCAGGGCATCCATGTCCCGGACGTTCGGAAGCCCATGGCTCGTTGCTGCGCTGCTGGGAGCCGTGCGGTGGTGCTTCGCTGCTTGGGCCATTCATGGTGGGCCAGAACGGGTGGGTGCTTAGACCAGCTTAGAGCTTGATCTTCGCCGCGCTTCTGGGAGAGAATTTGATTTGGTAAGTTGATTGTCTTATATGTGGTGACAGATGTTGGAAGAATTTTCTGGAAGTGTAGTGCATTTTAGACAGCCCCAGCTTCAAGATGCTTCAAGATCCTCCCCTTTTTTTGCTTCCAGAAGCTGGAACCTGCCTACCTTAGTGGCAAGAGTTCCCATAAATACTGTAGACTTCAAAGCACCTTCTAAGGATACTTGGGGGTTCAGTTCCACTTAATAAGTTGGTACATGGCAGAATAAGCGGGATTATATCCCAACTTATGGGTTATAAGTATATACATGTATATGCCCATCATATAATCCTGTTCCCCTTAATTATGTTAAATAGCCTCAAATATTTCTGGATCTATGTGTGGAATTGTTTTATCTCTCGGGAATATTGAAAATGAAGAGGATGTACAGATTTGAATCTCATGTTTGTGGCTGAACATGGGTCCAGATATGGGCCAACTAAATGAACACATCCAATACTACACCATGGTTTGGTTTTAGGATATCAGTAGAGTTTGAGCGGTAAATTCAAATCAAGAAGGCCAGCTGCACCCCGATTTATGCCTGCTGAAACCTCCATATTTCTAGGTTCACTTTCCGTATCCCGCATCTTTCCGCATGATTTTCCCCGCATTTTCCCATTAAAAGCGCCATTTTTGGGGCAGTCGCTGAGGTTGATTTCTCCACCTCCCAGGGCCGCCCCCGAGCCGGCGGCCGGACCGCGTGTGCGTCTTCGCGGGCCAAGCAGCCGCATCCAGCGAATGTGGACGCCCGGACACGGCAGTCTTGATGGCCATGGAGGGAGAGATGTCCAAAAGTTGCCGATTTAATAAGAAGCACTGGCTGGTGGTTTGGAACCTTTTTTATGACTTTCCATATATTGGGAATGTCATCATCCCAACTGACGAACTCCATCATTTTTCAGAGGGGTAGGTATACCACCAACCAGAGCACATAGAAGCACCTTTTGTTTTGAGAACGAACACTTTTCGGGGTTTTGATGAGGAGTCAAGCAAGGTGATGACAGACACCCGATGGAGTTTATATGAGTGTAACAACATGTAAAACCGATAATTATTCCTGTTTATTGTTTTAAACAAGACCCCTGCAAACATGCAAATTCGTTAGTTTTGAATTATCATTGGTTTTCCCGTAAGTTCGGTTTAAGAGATACATATTTTCTACTAGATCCCAGGGCATTAGGTGGTTCAAACTCACTTAATAACTGCAACCCCCAACATCGCTTACAAACAACCATTTTGGATCTACCTCATGCTACTTCCACTTCATGGCTTCATTTAAGTACATAATGTTTGATATTTTTCAGCTCAGTGGCTTCATATTGATATGTGATGATACGTTGCATATATATATATAGTTATTTATTTATTTATTTATACTTAGCCTCAGCTGCCAACTTCACTTGGATCATTCATCATTAATTTTGATGCAATCACCATACTTGGCACTATTATGTACCTCTATGATGCCATAACATATTCCCATTGTGTTTCCAGGGTGTTTCTTGGGTTCCTGAGAACCATCCTCCTACTTTCCCAACTTCCCTTGCCCTTTCATAATCAAATGTGGGTGGATGCAAAGACCACAACAAAAATGGAGGTGCAGTTCTCTGGGAAAATCATGGAACGCCATGTTTGATGACACCGCCTCCGGGTTTTTTCCATACCATGAGTCCTACCAGTGCGACCTTGCCATGACTTAGAAGACCTGGAACTTCTAAAAATCACTGGTCGGTGGTTTGGAACATTTTTTTCCATTTCATATATGGGATGTCATCCTTCCCATTGACGAACTCCATCATTTTTCAGAGAGGTAGGTATACCACCAACCAGATCACTTGAGGAACATCCCAGCTCCTGGTCCCTTGGGTCCCTTAGGTCCCTTGGGTCCCTTGGGTCCCTTGGGTCCCTTCCCAGGAGGGTGACTTCTACGTGGACCACACCTGCATCGATTGCGACACCTGCCGCTGGATGGCTCCCGACACCTTCGGCCGCACCGGGGCCAAAGGGCCAGGGCAGAGCACCTCAGCGCCACAAAGTGATACCTGTAGGATCCTATAGTCCTATAGGTAGCGGGGCCGCAAGGGGTGGGAGTTCATCCCATTTTTTTATGCCATCATTTCTGGTTGGTGAAGTAGGCAAAGGTCGAGAAATTGATGGATCCGTTTTGTCCAAAATTCAAGATATGCTTCGTCAGTAACAATGAATTGTAACTGAGATGGAGCGGTATATACAATCAAACAAAGTGCCACGATGCGCTCACACCAAATCCCTAACCCTAATCGAGTCACCAGCTTGATTCTACCATCAGTTTACCTCTAAAAGCATTAAACTAGCCCAGATAAATCACTTCAGGGTTTCGGTCTGGTTACATCCATCATATTTGAACATCAATGCCATATATGTGACTTTCTGATCCTTGGCATATCCTGTTTTTTTTGGGGGGGGGCCTTGAACCGTTGCTACAGGCTACGTCTACCAGCAGCCACAGGGTGGGCAGCAAGACTTGGCTGTGCAGGCCATGATCAGCTGCCCCACGGGAAGCATTCGCACTTGGACGCCCCTGCGGAAGACGCGGGAGTGGCGCGGTGGAGATCGGTGGACTGGTGAGTTTTGGCAATGCCAAAAGAAAAAAAAGGTGAGTGCCCCAATCAATGGCAAAGAATCACACGAAATATGTTTGAAGTAAGGGTTGATATTAGGGTTGATGAGGACATGGTGCTTGAGTCCATGGTTTTATGTTTCTAAGCATGTGTTTTTGGCTAGAAACTGCAGAGACAACCCTTACTCTTGCTCAAACAAAGTATTGTCCAGGAAAGTGGTTGGATTACCTCATTCCAAATCAGTTCGGCCTTGGATATCTTTGATTGTTGGAGTCGATGGTTGGTTGGTACCATCTGGTTAGGACTAACAGTTCGCCATGGAACATCACCATGCTATTAAGAACGGTGAAGCATCTATTTCTATGGGCCATCGAAAAACCATGGCGAACTGTGAATGTCATAACCAGATGGTAACTACAGAGGACCTAAACCATTCATGGAATAACTCCACTTGCCGGAGATGATGTGATCCCAAAAGCTGAAAAAATCGCCGGTCAAACATGGCACATGGCACATGGCAAGTCCACCATGGGAGTTTAAAATGGGAACATCATCCATAATCCTGAGCTAGATGGGAAAATTGTCCATAAATAATCCTTGAATTATTGTCCATGATCAATTTTCATGATCGGAGGGTACATGGTCATACGATCTCAGGTTTCCCGGGGAATGTTTCTTGGAGGGGACGGCATTGGATGGGTCACGAGTCTTGCGCCACTGAGATAAGATCATCCACGGTTAACTTCAACTACGCCCAAGTTGAAACGTCAGTACCATGATTCACAACTTGTGATCCATGAGATTAGTGTGTGCATTTACGGCTTTGATACCCAATCCAGTAGATATATTTGTATAAATTATAACGACCTTACCGGGACCTCACTGGAATAATGGTTAGTAGGGGAAACTATCCCAAAATAGCCTGAATTCATCTTAATTCATCTTAATTCATCCTTGACTCAGGTTAGTGAGATATTGATAGATATTGCAATTTACCCAGATGTATCATCAAATCATCCTATCCCCACCTTGTTCCCTGGTCAGGATCCTGAACACCTTCCCATTGCGAGTGGCAGAGCGTTTGCCCAACGTGTTCCACCTGGGCTTTCACAGCAAGCAGAGCTTCGGTGCTGCCAGCTATTTCGTGACCAGCGCAACTGAGTGACTGGGATTTGGCATGATGGTTATTTTTCTGGTTGGTGGTTTGGAACATGTTTTTAGTTTTCCATATATCCTCTGGTAATTTAACATAGCTATTGAAAATGGCCATTTATAGTGAGTTTTCCCATTAAAAATGGTGATTTTCCATAGTTCTGTTAAATTACCAGAGGGTATTGGGAATGTCATCATCCCAACTGACGAGCATATTTTTCAGAGGGGTAGGTATACCACCAGCCAGTTTTCAACGATTTTTTTTGCAGGGAAAAATGGGGGGTAGACGCCTCTTGGAGCTAAATCAGGTGCCCCAAGGAGCGATGGGACGGTCCATAAGGTCATGGGACGGTCCATAATCATTGGTGCAACATGGTGCAACATCGTAAATTTGCCAGGCTTCTCATGCCAAAGTGCGGGATGTTTGCAGACAACCAAAAAAAACACAGCCAATGGAAATGCCCCCATTTTTTCCCGCCACAGGATGTGGTGGGGGCCAGTTTGCTTTGCTTAGGCAACCTTTGAACATCATGTTCGATTCCCCACGCTATTCCTCCAAACTGGCGAATTTGCTGGAAGCAGCTGGCGGTGTGGATTTGATGGTCATGAGCCACGCGGCTACACCAGATACACCGGACTCCTTTCGGACAATAAAGATACAAATATGCAACTGATAAGGCATGGTGACATTATGCATCTTCAATGGAACCCAGACGTCGCAAGCTCCCACTGTCATCCACATCTTTTTTTAAAGTTATACATCGTTATGTACAGTCGCACATCATTCTCCCAATCCCTTTTTGGATGGTCTGTTTATGGGTTGATTGATCCGTTTTTTTTGGGCTTATGTCGAAAATTTCAGGGGAGTCTCAGGTCATAAAGATGATGTGGCGGACCACAACCGATGGAAAGAGCCTTTGGTTCCGTCAGACTGGGGAGGATCGCCGGAAGGTGAGAGCAGGTGAGTTCCAGTTCTGGGGTATGGACCCTTAGAACTGGAAAATACCCTCTGGTAAACTAACATAACTGTGGAAAATCACCATTTTTAATGGGAAAACTCACTATAAATGGAAATTTTCAATAGCTATGTTAAATTACCAGAGGGTATATGAAAATATTGTGATAATTTCTCCGAAGTTGGTTGCTGACCACCTACTGACTGTAAAAGTCATCGAAGTAGAAGTTTCATCCATTGTGGTTGAGTTCGAGCTGAAGCAAGTCTTGCCTGATATTGCCGTGGATCCGATCAAGAGATAGTTCTCACCATATACCTCGAGTTCCATCCAGCAGAAACCCATAGGATCCATGTATGTTATATATGCTAACATTTGGGGTATATTATTGATGGTAAATGTTACCATATAGAGCATACATGGATCCTATGGGAAATGGCGTTGTTCCCTTTTAAAAACATGTTTCTGCAGCGGCTGCCGGTCGTCGCAAGGAACGCTTCCCGCAGATGCGTCGCGTGATGCATTCTCTGGACGTGCGCGGTCCTGATGCGTGGCCGTACATCGAGACTTGGCAAGGTGTCGTGGGAGTGGATGGCAGGCCTTCATATGGAGGTTCCTTGCAATGGGGACACCAAAATCATCCAAGAGATTGGTTCTTTTCAACGGAGAGTCACATGTTTTTTTGATCTAAATGTACTTTCCATTGAACATTAAGCACATATATTACATATGTGTGTGTTGTTCGTGTTCGAAATAATTACATATAGCTTCAAGTAATTTGTATGAATAGTGGCCCGTTGAATTCGATGAATTACCAGGAGATCTATCTAAATTAAAATGGTGACTTTCCAGTTCGCAAAGTGTAACAAATTACCAGAGGGTATGTATCCCATGAAAAATCACCACTTTGATGAATTAAATCACCACTTTTCATGGTAAAATCTACAGATCAATTGTCCCGGTCAGTTCCAGGGGCCAACTTTCGATCCGAGGACATGACTGCGGTAGAAAAGCAGCTCGAGGGAGATGGCCCTTGGACCTTAGCAGATGCTTGGTGGAGAGCCCAGTTCGTCGCAACTGTTTTTGGTGGAAAAGTTATGGAAAAAATGTGGATTTACCAGCTATGTCTGTTGGAAAATTGATGAAAATGCTGGTTTCACCCAGAACAAATCGGGAATTTAAGAGCAAACATGGGGATTTAACAAGCATTAACAGGGCCATAGATTTTCTATGATTTTCTTGGGATGGGTTCAAGGATTCTTCAACCAAGGTCATCCATCCCCTATCCCCATGTTGGATGTTTTCTGACGTAGGTCGAATTTCATAACTAATTATTTGATTAATGTGGGTAAATCACCATGTTCTTTTTGGTGGGATTAGGTTACCATTCCCAGTCGGCTGGGTGGTAAAATGGCATCGTTTTTACCCACATTATTCCAATTATTAACCATTATTAACCAATATTAACCAATATTAACCAATATCAACCAATATTGACCAATAGTTTTACCCACATTATTTGGTTGTGTCATATCCTTTTCTTTGGTAGCCCGGCTTTGTCTTAATGATCAGCTCCGAGAGGAAACAGCATGCAAAGATGACGCATAAACATACATCTAAGTCAACGCATCTATCATATATATATATAATGATATGTATATATATAGATAGATAGATAGATAGATAGATGTTCATGCACCCATCATACATATACATATACATATTTATATATATATATATACATATTATGCACAGCGATATTCGTCTCGTTAGCGTCCCTGAGATTTTGAAGTGCTGTTTCTAGGAGGGAGTGCGGGTGGTGCACACCCCGGGCCACAGTCTGGGCTCCATCTGTCTGCTGCTGGCGTCCCAAGTCACCGGGGGAGATCCAGCGATCTTCACGGGAGACCACCTGGTGCGGGGAGGGGATGGGGGGATGGGATGAGGACGTTCAGGGACCATGTTTGGTCCATAGATCAACTGGCCTCTGATCATTTCAGAGATGGAAAAATAACTAAATGTTTGGAGGAAATCCATCTATAACTGGGTTATTTTCTATAGCTATCTTAAAGGAGGGTACACATATGTAGCGATGAATACATAAAGATAGTTAGATCATGTTAGATCACTTGATAGTTCGATCACTTGATAGTATGACGTATCTCCTGATACGTTAGTACAATATGTTTATACAATATTGATGAATATCAATAAAACAAATATAGTATAAAGTATCTTTAGAAGTTCTCTAAATCAGGTGATTTGAAGGGATAGTAGCTTCTGTAACCACCAGACAAAACAACTAAAACAAATACTGCTGGCAGAGAATCAATAGCCAATGGGATATTGGTGGGACATCTTGGGCGGATTATATCGCTTGTCAATTTCAATGATAACAAGTAAGGCAAATCATCCTAAAATGGACCAACATATCTGATTTGAGAAATGTATTTCATGATGCAAACCTTGTATATAGCAAGTTCCCAAAATGACTTCAAACAATTGGCTGAAAGCTGAACTTGAGATGATAAGAGTTTATGAAATTGGAGCAACCTACAGGAACTTCCAAGATCTTGGTGGTTTAAGCATACCATTGAACTACAGAAAATCTTTGAACATCTATGAACATCTCTTATCACCTTTAAAACCCTTAGGTCATAAACTATACATGTGGATACACCTGGGGGGGTTCTTACAATGCATCCCCAAGCCGCCATGGGTTTCAATTCTCAAAATAGGTGAAAGAGTTGGGACAAGGGATGCCCAAGGTGGGCCCCAAATTATATGGGTTATAACCCTCATTAACTTTAGAAATGTCTACCATACACCATAGACTTCACCTTGTGAACTATCAGCTTATCATAACTCAGCCATAAATACCATGGAAATCCCATAGATTCACTATAAATCCCCATAAATCATCCATAAACCCACCAGTGAAGCCATTTTTCAGCCATGCAACGCCATGGTCGGCTGCGCTACGCGCCAGGCCCTGAATGGTCGCCTGGGGCGCTTGGACGGCTTCGCCCGTTATGGTGATGACTTGCTGCTGCAAGCGGAGTCCATGCGAAAGCTGGCAGAGGAGGTGGGGGTCGATTTTTTGTCCAGCAAACATGTGGGGATTTGATGGGGATATGGTGATTTTAAATGGGAGTTTTATGGTGGTTTGATGGGGATTGCATGTGTTTTTTTTTTGATTGTGGGGATGATGATGATTTTCTTAGGATGTGACGTGATTTCATAGTTGTTCACGATGATTTTCTGGGATAATTATAGTGGATATGGTTACATAGCAGCAAACATGCTGCTTTCATAGAGACAGAACAGATTTGTTAATGGAATATGTTAATGGTGATTTCGCCAAAAAGAACTTGGATTTGCTGAAAGTGATTAAAGTGATCCATAACAAATGGTGGTTTCATGGGATTTCATGGGGATTTATTGGGATATAATAAACCAACCAACATATGGAGGTCTTGCACAGTGCTAGATTCGAAGGTTCATGATGCTAGTGCTGAGAATATCCAAGGGCTGATGACTTCATCGATGTGCCCATTGTGTGCATTTTCCTGGATCAAACTCAGTCTTGTGGGCTCGCATCCAACCCCAGCAGATTCTTCATAAATTGCATACTGAATTTTCCCATGATTTCACTCCCAAGAAAAATCACCCAAACTTCAATCTCCCAAACATCAGGATTTCCTTCAAAAATTCAACATTTCTTTACATTTCCCCCAAACATCACCATGTTTTTGGTGGATTTCCCCGGTGGTTTTCCCAGGACTTCCTCTGGATCCTCCCGGGCCACGGCCGCCGCGCCTCCTTCCGCAGCGCCGCCGAGCGCCGCGCCGCGCTGGCCGCCGCCGCGGACGCGTTTCGGGCGGATCCCGCGGGCCACGGAGCGCCCGGCCCCGTGTTTCAGGTGCTGGGATGAGCCACAAACCAGCTGGTTGGTTAATGATGGTTAATAGTGGCTAATAGTGGTTAATTATCTGGTTGGTGGTTTGGGACATTTTTTCCCATATATTGGGAATGTCATCATCCCAACTGACGAACTCCATCATTTTTCAGAGGGGTAGGTATACCACCAACCAGCCAGCCATGACCAACCGGCGCTGGCCAAGCTTGAAGACCTTCAAGCAGCCCCCAGGGGGAAACAGGCGCACCGGCTGGCACAAGATCAGTTCTGGACAAAACGCCGGGCCGGCACAGTCACGACAGTGCAGCAGATGGAGAAAAGTTTGGGCACAGGAAGAGTCAATGGAATGATTCATGATATTTCTTTCGGAAAATTATGTTGCTTTCCCCTAGTTTCAACATGTTTCAACATGATTCAACATGTTTCACCATGTTTCACCATGAAATTCCGATGAATGATTCACCGAGAACGAGATGGACAGAGTGTGCAGGTTTTTCTTTCTGAGATGTTGGCTCCGATGTCACCTCGCAGCATCCCCATAGACCGGACAAAGGATATGAAAAAAAAACAGTTGTAAGTTTTATAAGACAATACCATACAATACTCTCCAGTAAACTAAGGTGGCCATAGAAAATCACCATGATTAATTAGTCTTTAAATTAGTTGAAAATGAACCATGTTCCATAGCAAACTGTTACTTTAGCAACAGGGTAATCAGAGGCAGCATGACAAAAAAAAATGGCAAATCCAACTACTCTTCACAGGTGCAGAATGCAGCATCATTTGGAAATCGCCCAGTTTTTTTGTGGTTGATTTGGCTGCAGGATTTCCAAGCCTTTCTCAAGATCAGAATAGCTTTGGCCAATGAGTACAAGGCTGGGGTTTTTCAGGGGTCCCAAAGGTCCCAAGGGTCCCAGACATCCCAGGGGTCCCAGGCAGAGGGTGCAGACTGCTTCGAGTGACCCGGAAGGCTTGACGTCAAATTCTGACCCACCAATGTTTTTTGTTTGACTTGTTGAATTGGTTTGTGTTGAGGTTGGGGATGAGGATGAGGATGAGGATGATGATGATGATGATGATGATGATGATGATGCTGGTGCTGGGGTGCTGCTGGTGGTGGTGGTGGTGATGCTCCCTGGGCAAAACAGTCGCGGAATCCATTTCTCCCATTAGGTCATTGGGTGAAGTTATGCTGTATCTCCATTATATCCCCATGAAATCCTAGATGATTTTAGATGGCGATAAATCATGATAAATCACCAAGATTGCTGGATCAAATCCCATGATATCTTCAAACATCCATTCCAATCCCTGCTATTTGTTGGTTGACTCCCAACAACAGCAGCCGCCGGTGACCGCAGGAAGCGGTGAAGGAAAAGCGCTTGCGCGCCAGCGGCTCGTGGGATATCCAGGTGGAGGGCGCGGCTGGGGGAGGGCATTCAGCGGATATGATGCGGATTTTTGATTTCATGGGGATACCCTGGGTATTTAATGGTGATTTCACCGGCAATATCATGTTTGTTTTTTCCTCTTTGTTTCTGAAATATATGTGCCATAGTCAAGTTACTTCGGCAGGGTATGGCAGGATGTGTTGGGCAGTATGGCTTGACATAGCCACTGTAGGATTTGCAGTTCCCACACGTTGCTGAAAAGTATACAAGTTGGGATGGCAATGCCGCCACCAGGGGCAAGTCCTTCAAGCGGGGTTGAACATAGTTGTTGGTGGTTTAAACCCTTTTGAAGAGTCCCCCATGTTTTAAGAGTTTAATTCTCATATTCTCCCCACATTTGTTGCTTGAACCCTTCATTTGGGGACGGTTTCATGAATACATCTCCATATTTTGCTCAGGTTATCCTCCACCTTGCCCAAAACAACATCGCCTCAGTGGCAGGACCCCACGCTGAAACAGGAGTCGCGGCGCGGGCTGGGCCTGGGTCGTATGAAACTACGCCCGGGAGCACAGTTGTCATCCGAACGCGGGTGAATCGATCGATCTGATAGTAGGTTGAACTGATTTTATATGGTGGTTTCTTAAAATTAGGGATCCCCAAGTCACCATGGGTATCAATACTAAGTCATGGTCTGTGTTTTTTTCCTTGGATGATTTTGGGGGGTACCCCAGTTTTAGGAGACTTCATGAAAGCTCCGTATGTAAGAATGCACCATATAACAAAAAATTGGGCGGCTTAGCATGATTTTTCCAACAACAGCAACCGAAGGATTTAGTATGATTTGCCCAACAGACATGAGGTTTTTGGACGTGAATTTATCCACAAATCGGGATTCCATGTGCTATGTTCAGAAAGGTTGAATTTCAACCGTTGGACATGATTCATGACAAACGACGCGTGTTTCTTTTAAATGATGTGCTAAAACAATAAAAAACTGGGGATCCCTACATGTTTTGGCCATTGAAAGCGCGAGATTCAAGATCATTTATCCACCAAACAATATAAGATTATATTTCTCCAACGCACTGATCAACTTTGTGAATAAATGATGCTACTGTTGAAATTGGTTGGATCTACTGTCAGTTGGATTCTCCAACCAATAAATGTTGGGAATGATCTACTCTGATAGTATATCTCTAGGATGCATGCATGATGCTTACTTATTGGTCGGAGAAGATCGGATATGTTTATATACTAATATACTTAATTTAAATAAAAAAAACTTAGTAAATCCCACGTATACATATAATATATATATATATACACGTACACAAATTCTTGGCGATATATATATGTGTGTGTGTGTATCCCCGAGGCTTTAAGCCTTTCCCTTTTTTTTGCGCAATCAAGTCCCTCTGTTTCTGTGGTCGTGATATCCTTAGACTACGCGCTGAGGCCAAAACAACACGTGCCTCGGCTGCACCTAGCGAACTGCCCTGCCGATTGTCCGGTGCTCGCTTGAGGCTTTTGTATAGAAATGGTGTGCGCATATATGCTCATATCTATGTCATATGAGTCTTACATACAATGTATAATATGTCAAATATACCTTTATATATATATGTACCTCCATAATGTTCTATCTTTATCATGTGAACATATTTTCATGCGTTTTATAAACCGTATTTGTGGATTGCATTTCCAGTATACATAAATGCATACGGGCTGTGTGTTTCTCATTTTATCCTCAAAAAATGATGAAAAAATGTGATTCAGGACCTTTCAGTTGACATTTCAAACTGGGCTTGTTCTGCTTGGTTTCCCAGTGACCTGATTCAGGCGCGCGTACCTGGCTGCTGTGGTCAATGAACAGTCGAGGCAAGACAGCTGTCGGCAAGCGGCGGTCACGTTGAAGACTCACAGGAAAGCCAAGTTGTTATGGTAAAGACTAAGGATAGCCTGTAAATTGTCCATTTCACAACGTTCAACCAGTCGCAGAATTTCCTGACAAATTTGCTGGGTGCGTCCACTTCGATCGGAGTTTACTGAATCAGAAAGTTCAGCAGAAATGACAGCGGAGGGAGATACTCTGCAGTGCTTTGCAGTCTTAAAAATCTCTGCAAACTGTGCCTCATATTGCGTCCCTGCCCCAGAGGCAAAGACGAGAATGTAACTGGTCTCATAGCATTGTGCTCGACGATGTTTCTCGGCGGAAACTGAATCATTTTGTCGATGAATTGACACAAAAAGGATAGAAAAGGCGGTAGACATCATTAATCCATATTAATCCATATTAATCCAGATTAATCCATACTAATCCATATTAATCCATATTAATCCATATTAATCCATATTAATCCATATTAATCCATATTAATCCAGATTAATCCATATTAATCCAGATTAATCCAGATTAATCCAGATTAATCCAGATTAATCCAGTTTAATCAGATTAATCCATATTAATCCAGTTTAATCCAGTTTAATCCATTTTAATCCAGTTTAATCCATGTTAATCCATTTTAATTCATTTTAATCCAGTTTAATCCATTTTAATCCATGTTAATCCAGATTAATCCAGATTAATCCAGATTAATCCAGATTAATCCAGATTAATCCAGATTAATCCAGATTAATCCAGATTAATCCAGATTAATCCAGATTAATCCATATTAATCCAAATTAATCCAGATTAATCCAGATTAATCCAGATTAATCCAGATTAATCCAGATTAATCCAGATTAATCCAGATTAATCCAGATTAATCCAGATTAATCCAGATTAATCCAGATTAATCCAGATTAATCCAGATTAATCCAGATTAATCCAGATTAATCCAGATTAATCCAGATTAATCCAGATTAATCCAGATTAATCCAGATTAATCCAGATTAATCCAGATTAACCCAGATTAATCCAGATTAATCCAGATTAATCCAGATTAATCCAGATTAATCCAGATTAATCCAGATTAATCCAGATTAATCCAGATTAATCCAGATTAATCCAGATTAATCCAGATTAATCCAGATTAATCCAGATTAATCCAGATTAATCCAGATTAATCCAAATTAATCCAGATTAATCCAGATTAATCCAGATTAATCCAGATTAATCCAGATTAATCCAGATTAATCCAGATTAATCCAGATTAATCCAGATTAATCCAGATTAATCCAGATTAATCCAGATTAATACAGATTAATCCAGATTAATCCAGATTAATCCAGATTAATCCAGATTAATCCAGATTAATCCAGATTAATCCAGATTAATCCAGATTAATCCAGATTAATCCAGATTAATCCAGATTAATCCAGATTAATCCAGATTAATCCAGATTAATCCAGATTAATCCAGAATAATCCAGAATAATCCAGATTAATCCAGAATTAATCCAGATTAATCCAGATTAATCCAGATTAATCCAGATTAATCCAGAATTGATCCAGATTAATCCAGATACGATATCCCCTATGGTATTTCTTCGCCGATGGCCACGATGGCCACGAGTTCGCCACGAGATGCCGTATTCGTCACCAGTTGGTGGTGGTTCCGCTCATCCTTGGACCCAGATGACGTATCATACGTTTTGTTTTGTTTTGTTTGTTTTTGGGGCTTGTATTCGTATGATATTCATTGATATTCATTCATATGTTTTTTGTTTTGGCTTGTATTTGTATATGATATTCACTGATATTCCTATCTATATATATATATATCGCAACGCCTGGTCTTTGCCCCAGAGTTGCAGCGTAGAGGGTTCCCATTCACATTCAATTGGGAAGATCAACAAAGGTATTAGGGAAAATTTACTCCCGTCGTCGTTGCGGTTCGGGGCAAAGCCCAGGCATTTGGCGTATACATATATATATATACATATTTATCCTATACGGCCACGACTGCCACATGATTACATGTTTTGATGTTCCAATGATACTTTGTTCCGCCAACGCCAATGAGTTCCCTATCTTGTGTTTTGGCGCTTATCGTGGTTGTATCCGGGGTTTTCTGGTTGTCCGCCAATTTTGGCTGACATAAGTGTTGTAGGTCGAATCCTGACATTCATCCCAAACCCAAAGTGGTCAAAATCACTGGCTTTCCTGTATATTTCCCCAAACAGTGTGGCCACACTGAGGGGTTCTTACGGTAAATGTTAAGGCCCGGTGTTCAATCGAGGTGGTATCCGGGGCATCCGGCATTTTCCCTGTAAATCTCCGCACAAAATGGCTCTTGTGAAATGTCCGTATGCATTTCGACCGCGCAGGCTCGCACAATGTGTGCTTCCCAGTCTTGGGATCGGTCTTCCTCCTCAACATCCTTCTCAACATTATCATCTTCCTCCTCAACATCAACATCATCACCTTCCTCCTCAACATCATCATCATCATCATCATCATCCTCACCATCATCACCATCATAATCATCATTATTATCATCACCATCACCTTCACCATCAACATTGATTAACAATGATTAACATCACCATCAACATTCTACTACATTATCATTTTACTCCCCCCCCACTCTGTTTGGGGTCTCTTGCCGGGACATTTTTTAAAAGAAAAGACGTCGCAATATGCAAATTCAACCTATGTATCTTGATCATGTGTTGCTTCTTGGAACATCTGTTATGAAATTCAGTATTGTCCATTACTAGGTGTTTTTTCCACCAGATGAACCCAACCCCAAGCTTCGCCGAGGCGAAGCTTGCTGACGTAGGCCGGAGAATTTCCGAGAGCGATGCCCCTTGGCGTTTTCTTCAGTGACCAAATCAGAGACCCTTCCCGAGAATGGCATAAAATTTGGTGCATGAGTGTTCACAAGATTTTGCCTCCACACATATGTATGTATACATATATTTATATACACATAATATGTTTCTAGGAGAACTGGATTGAATGGTGTGTTGCTGAAATCTTTGCGTTTGTGCGTTAAATAAACCAGATCCATTTGCTGTTCGCTTTCTGCGGTTAAGGGTTATTCTGCGCACCCATATGCAGAATTGTTCGCAACTGGAAATGACAAGTCCATGATTGTGTAGTTCTCAGACCCATATCCACATTAGTTGGTTACATCATCAATTTTGCCGGTTGGATCTTGTTTTTTTTCATGTTTTTTTGTCAGTTGCTGAATGCGTTTTTTTTGAATTGGTTTAGGTTGTCAATCAGTGGATAGCGAAGGCTAAGGAGGTGCACCCCACAATGGCCGGTTAGCCTCTGGTACACGTAGCCATCAAAGATCACCATCTTTAATAGGTAAATTCCTATTAATTTCTATTCAACACCCAAACTAAATGAATTAACACCTGCAGTAGTTTTTTTTAATATGGATTAGATCCACCATTGTCTGGTTAGATTGAATTGTTGTTGCTGTTTCACTTCAATTGTTTACTTGGGGGCTGTGTAGCCTCGAACTTTCGCAGATTTCTTTGCAGTTCTTGCTGGCTCGACTAAAGTGACTAAGGTCAAAGCTTCCATCGAGCGAGCGCAGCGGGACTATGCCAGTGTTCGCAGGGGCCTTCAGATTGGTTTTTATGTGGCCTGGTCTTTGTGTAGTTTTGTTACAATTATAATGTACCGATTACAGTGATAAATGCTTAAAAAAACACAGTTTGAATCCATCTTCAGATACGATACCATATCCAAACATCAGTAGCGTGTTTTTTTTCCTCTCCTGGATGCAGGAAAACAGATCAAGTGGGAACTCCACAAAGCAGATTATGCCCCAGGCCTAGGCTCCCATGCAGACGGCATAGGTTGCGTAGGCATTGGCGTAGGCTCGTTTTAGCCTACACCGCGTAGGCTTTGCGTAGACACTCGTTGGCAGCAGTTGGATTTGTTATTTTGCATTGGTTAGTTGTGATGCTTGTGGTTCCAAAACCTCATGCTACAATCGAAAACGAAAAGCAGCACTGGCCGCGTAGGCAAAGTCTACACCGCGTAGGCTCGCGTAGGAAACCCTTAAAACACATACCCTGCGTAGGCTACCTCATGCAGGCTTGACGTAGACGGTTTCGTAGGATTATATATATATATCAGTGGTCATCGAAAGACAAGGATTAAAAACACTACTCATATGAATTGTTGGTGTGGTTTATCCCCATGTGATATTCCCATCTCATATAGTTGAATAAAACATAACGATAAGGGGAATCATGCCCTAGAAAATCCTAGAACCCCTTATTTCAGGTCAGTAAGCTATTAAGATTTGTCCGGTTATCATAGATAAACAATGGTGATTTGATGGGTGAATTTTGTGTTGTCCGACCCATGGTCAATCATGGTAAGGATAGGACAATGACAATAAGAAAACGTATTGAAAACAATAGGTATATGTTCGGCAAACTATGTTTGCAAATTGCTGATGATAATTGGTAGTTTGGACCTTTGGGGGGGCCCTATATGAAGATTCTGCCATGATAATGATGATTGTTCATGAGGATTTACCCAACCAACGTGGGGCTACGTATAAAGCCAGCACTAAACCAGGAATACAGCAGGGCTGTTATGGAAATATACAACCAACAATATCATATTGGGTGTGTTCCAAAATCAGCTTTGTGGCCATGTGATGTTCAAAGCCATGATATTTGGAGCTCCTCTCTATTATGTTTCACAAAGCCACATTGAGGTATGAGGGGCTAGTGACCCATGATGTGTCCAACGCTAGGAACAGTTTTCGCTTTGCCCCCAGGAAAAGAGATTGAACAAAACTTCTCCAAGACGTTTGAGAAGGCACTGGGGGAACTTGGTGTGGCACAACTGGTTCATGGAAGCTGCCCTAGTTGGATGGCATTTGAGGGGATGGTACGTTTCATGTTGTTGCTTTCAATTTCACTGCGTTTATCAATTGAAACCAAGATGCAACAACTAATAATTTAATAGAATTTATTGACATGCATCATGCACGACATTATTTTTGTTGCCAGAAATCAAATTTAATGCATTTTACAGTATATAATGTTTGCACTCTCCCTGAACATTTGAAAAAGCAACCTCCCACTCGGCTGGGCCGTAAAGGTGCAAGACGGAGCCAAAAGAAAATGACATCTCCGGCTGAACATTGCTCAGGTGAATTGAAATTCGTGGGAGAACCTCATCAAAATTCCTAAAATCATCTAAAATCTCCTAGTCCTATTGATGCTGGAAAATCATTTTCCTTTATAAGAACGGTTGTACATTAATGGCTGTAGCCTTTTTTTTTGGACCACGCCTAAGCATGAAAATCATCGGGTTTTGGGGATGGTATACACCGTCCAAATGAAATACCCTCTGGTAAACTAACATAACTATTGAAAATGGCCATTTATAGTTGATTTACCCACTAAAAATGGTGATTTTCAATAGCTATGTTAAATTACCAGAGGGTATTATTTGGTGATACCGTATTATTGTGAATTAATATATGGTGATATGGTATTTACCATAATGAAACTGGGTTTACCATATTATTGGGTGATATTATTGGGAAACGTTTTTATTTATGTTCTTTACAAATTTAGGCAGAAGTTTCTCAAGGGTATTGGCTTGGAACCTTGTGTCTTGGTGAGTCCCCATCGTCGGAAACCCAGCCGTGGTGGTCCAAAATGCTAGGGACCTCGCAACATGTTCCATGTCATGCATACCAAACCAGCGGAACAACATGTGTTCAGACACAAAAAACATGCTCATCTGAATGTCTGAAGGTTTGCTTCCACAAGAAAAATGTCGAACAGGTCACGGTATCATGGTGCGTTTCTGGTGTGAACCTGAACCAAGCCTCCATCAGTTCATCGTGGCACCATGGGCTCGCCGGAGAAAGAGAGTCACTGCCAGCGCCCGGGCTAACGGCTAACCGTTAAGGCCACGCTTAGGCGTCCATGGTCAAAACATGGCCTTGCCATATTGGGGGATGGTCATCAAGAATTGGATGGATGACCATCAGCCATACACCATCTTTTTGATCATGGAATCATGGCGCACATATGTTTATTGCATGATCTAATCAAATAAGCATAAGACATCATAAGATGACACGGTGACACGTGCATTTGTGTTTGTAAATGTCGGCCATATACCAAGTGGGAGCATGGAGATCTACACAGTGGGTCAGTGCTTCGACTGCCAGGAGATGGCTACAGATCCAACTCGTTGAGATATTGAGGGCCCAGTAGATTTGAACGGGTCCTTTGATTGATGTTGATTGATACTGATATTTATATACAACAATGTACCAACCAACCAATGGGAAAAGGACATCTATGTTTATATAGTTCTGTTTCACTCTTTTTGTTTATTTTGTTTTACAACTTTAGTCTGAAAGTTGCTTGAAAGAACATTGAGGACTCAAGTAGCCCACTAGTCTTGTAAATATCATTAAATATCAAGATCTCAAGGGACTTCACCTTTCAACATTCAAAAGTGATGCTTTCTACCAGAATTCCGGGGGCAGAGAGGTGACTGATGGTGACTGCAGGTGGCCTTCAAGGATCTATTCCTTGGCTTTAAGGCTGTCAAGAATCGTTGATTTCCATGTTTTTTTCTGCTCAAAAGGTGCTTGATCCTAAAAACGATGGGGGTGAACCCATCCAAAAACTGAAAAGATCGTGTGGGTTCCAATTGCAGTTAGTGTATGCTGTAGGGAGACCTTGTGTTGTGAGCAGAAACTCTCAGGTACTTCGTGCTCTCCCCAGAAGTGGAACATCGTGAGGTCCGCAAGGTGGATGAGAATACGGATCTCAATGTGGCCAGGACAAGCGCTTAGCTCAACTATTCAGCCCTTTATTTTTTAGGGATGCTTCAGAATTTCATGGTCCAATCCTTTGAACATCTCCATAGATCCCTTGTATTTCTCTCATCTTTCCATAGTTTCCATAGTTTCCATGGCACTCCAACTCCACCCTGCGAGGACGGTGGTGAAGATCTCCAAGGTGAAGACCAAGGCGCCTCTCTCGGCGAAGAAACCGGTGGTGACCACCGTGCGGCCCAGCACGCCCACGCGGGGCCGCCCCAACCTGCGGCCTTCGGCCGAGGCGAAGACGCCGGGACCCTTGACGGTGCCTCGGCTCAATGGGGGGCTCGTTTTGGGCACAGGGACGGTGTTTTTATAGCTGGAAGCATCAACAAAATTTTCATAAAACATGTGTAGAATATGTGAAAAACTGAGGTTTTCCCATATCATCCCAGATTTTTTGGGAGAAAAAACATGACAGAGAGAGATACTCATATTTAACTCTACTATCACGTCTCAAATTGACGTCCATCCCCCTAATATTAAATATCCCCTCTGGCTGAACCCCAAACAAATTATATAACAGAGCCGTTATTTCACTAGCGGGGTCCGGATATTTACGGTATACTGCAAGAGAATGGGCTCAACCATTTATCATCCAATCATCCATTTATCTATCAACATTTACACCAAATTCAACACTTTACAATCCAATGTAAGCAATTGTTTGTAGTGTGAAGCCATGTTAGGTTTACTTGTTGGCGCATCCAAGCTAGATCAAGTTAGTAATGGTCAACCATACCAGCGGCCTCCAAAGTCATGTTTTTTTGCATGGCATCTTTTTTACGCGCCTAGATTGAGGTTTAAGTCCCTTCCCAAAATTGAGGTACGTTTCTTCAAAATCTGCTTGAGGAAGGACCACCATTTGGTCACGTTTGTTGAATTTGAGCTCGTTTGCAGTGTTTTGTGCCGATTTGCGCTCGTTACATCACGTTTCCAGCAGGGATGTGTGCAGAAAACAAACACATACTCGAATCAACAATTTGTGCTCGGCACGTTTTTTAAACATTACGAGAAGTGCGTTTAGATGACGCAACTTCGATTTCGAACAGGGACTGGGACACAAATTTACATCACGTTGGAGGTTTCTGTGAACCGCTATCTGGGATGCACCCGCAACTTCGAAGTCAACTGCGCAAAATGCTTGGCTTATAATTAACCCCTAATAAGAACCCCAGTTGTACATACGTAGTTATAAGTTATAAGGGTACATAACCCCTCCATAACCTTTATGATCCATTGATCAACCAATTAGCTCAGTCCATGGCCCAACGAAGCGCCCCTGTTCATCGCGCCAAGGCGCGTTCACCTGTTACGCCCAAGACGGAGCCGCCCATGCGCGCGCCGCTGACGGCGCGCACGCCCACGGCATCACGCACGCCCAAAGTGCAGTCGCCACGGGAGAAGTGAGCCTCGGCCTTGTAGGAAACGGTGATAGAAAAATGTTACCCTCTGGTAAACTAATATAACTATGGAAAATCACCATGTTTAATGGGAAAATCAACTATAAATGGGCCATTTTCAATAGCTATGTTAGTTTGCCAGAGGGTATTTCTTGGGATTCTAGTGGTGGTTTAATGGGATAGTTCATGGAAGTAGACTATACTTTTTGATGATTATGGGTCAACATTAAAGACCTGAGGGACCACAGATTTAAGTCAATGTTTAGTATTAACCATGAAACTATTGGGGTACCCAAGTTTGAATATTAGAATCGAAAATTCCATCCACCTCCCCTACTAAACCATGGTTTCTGGTGGCTTTCTATAGGAATGGATAGGCTGAATCCCCCAATAGGATCGAATAGGTAGAAAAGCAAAGTATATATCACTCGTTTTGGGTTAAGCGCTGAACTAAAACCCCCATGTGGGGGACATGCTTGAAAAATGTTAGGACACTCTACAGGACATGTTGGGTCCTACTAACATGTTTGTTCCATTTATGTGTTTCCATAAATCTTAATCAATTTAATTGTGCATACTGAAAATGTTCAAAGGAGCCAACGATTTTTTCATCCCAGGTTTGTGGTTGAACGTTCTGTCTATGTGTTACAACCACTGCCTAGATCAAGATCTATTTTTGACTATCCAAGATTGGCCATCCGAAATGGTTGGTGAAAGGGTAATAAACAATTTCTGGTTGGTGGTTTGGAACAATAATCCCATTTGACTAATATTTTTCAGATGGGTTGAAACCACCAACCAGAATTGATCAATTTTATGTTTTTGTTTTTATCCCCAAACCCTAGGGGTTCAAACTCTCAACAGAAGGCGTTCATTGTTTTCAGTTGCACAATCGATAGGATTCTAAATCGGCAGTGATCAATTTCATGGCATGTTGCAGATGTTGGTGTAAACTCCTCAACAGACGCAGTGCGCCCGGCGCCCCTTTGTATGTTTGTGAGACTGCGCTGGTATATAAACCCTGTGGTAATCAAATGTGGCAATGGGGAATCCGTGGAAATCCCGGACGGAGGTTTCAATGGGAAAATCAACTCTAAATGGAGTGAAATTCCATCGCCATGGATTGAATACTGCAGGGTAAACCAATTCCTCTATTTCCAGCTGCCCACATTGGGGTTTACACAATATGACAGATGTTCATGCCTTCGTTCTGTCTTTTCTGCACGCTGTTCATTCGTTGGGATATCGCAGTGCGGCCTACTTGTAGTACTGTAACAGTACCTATTTGAAAATCACACAATATGTTTCCACGAGCTCTTATGAAGGAAACCCCTGCATTTGATGCTTAAAAAAGGCTTCTTTGCACATGTTTCCCAGTATGTCACTTCAATTTTTGGATCTTAAACCTATCCAATCATCCAATTTGACTCACAAGTGTTCCTTGAAAGTAATCTCAAAAATGATGCTAAAAAATTAAGGTTTCAACTGACCTACTGCCCGGTCGAAGGTTTGGAAGAAGATGATCTCACAGTTTCTCAGCAAAAACGGGTGGACGTCCGGGAAGAAAATGAGGGTACGACTCATGGGGAACTTGGAATTTTCACCATTGGAAATGGGGGATTTCGCCAGCATTCGCCAGCTGGTTGGTGGTTTGGAACCATGGAATTTTATGACTTTCCATATGTTGGGAATAGTAATCCCAACTGACGAACTCATATTTTTCAGAGGGGTTGGTTGAAACCACCAACCAGCCAGCATTTATCCGTTGTGCTTTTTTTTCTCTAGCCAAGAGTAAACGCCTGCGGGGGTTTAACCAACAAAGAGGCGCACTTGTTCTACAAGAAAATGCGGTGTTCCGATGATTCCGGCAGGAAAAAAAAACACATGGCGATTTAACCAACGTCAGCAATGAAAGTACCCTCTGGTTATTTTGACATAGCCATGGAAAATGGCCCACTTATATATGGTTTACCTATTAAAAATGGTGATTTTCCATGGCCATGTTAAATAACCAGATGGTAATTATTGTAGAACCAAACGTCATGGGTGACAAAACCACCAATTATGCTGTTGGTTTGCAAACCTCCCACTTGAATCTATTCTCGGAACATTGCAAACATTCATGTGGGATGACGATACCTCCAATTGAAAGTTCGTAGCCGCGAACCAGTCTTTAAGGAAATATTTGATGCAGTTTCTCAAACACCTCCATTTCATTTCATTTCCCCATCACATAGGTCACATAGATGTGTTTATCCCCTCAACTGCCCATGATTTCAATGGGAAGAAAATTGGGGAGAGCCTTTACATCATTATGACGTTTAGCCTTCACCTCGGCCTGACGTTTAGTACAATGTGGCCCCCCCAGTTATAAGTTGGTTTAGATTCGCCCCAATAACTAGTTCGTTATTTGCGTACCATAAACCATAGTGAAATTGGAGTTATGTGCACCAACTTAGCTATCGAACGGGGGCCTCACTAATTGTAGGTACCTCAGAGAGCTCCAATTGCTGAGGCCTCGGTGTGTTCGGGACACTTCAGCATCTACTCGGAGGCCTCAGGGCATTCGAGGCTCACGCAGCTCTCGCGGAAGAGCTTTTCCAAACGCATCTTGAGTTCCAAGGAGCTGAAGTGGGAAACAACAATGCCAGCAGAATGGTTTATCATGGTTTATCTGATTTATATTGATTTATGGGGTGTCTGATTTATGGGATATTGTATAATGATTATGGGATGATAATATGAGAACAAGATCTGTTTTATCATGTTTTATCTGATTTTATGGGATTTTGTTTGTTTGTTTTTTTTAAGCATATGTTTATATAACCAAGAAAATCCGGTATACTTAATGGATGATTACAGTCTATGGATCTGGATAGATTGTGCTGCAAGCTCACCTCGCGACGTGACCCACTTAAATGGCCAAACTGTGTCGCTGGGAATCACAGCAGTTGTAAATTGGTGTACCCTCTGGTTATGACTAACATAGCCATGGGAAATGGCCCATAGAAATAGATGGTTTATCTATTAATAGCATGGTGATTTTCCATGGCTATGTTAAATAACCACTATTGGGGGTTAAGCCTTTTTCAACATGGCTTTCAAAACTGGGCTTCATAATCTCATCATTTTCATTTTCCCGGGGCTCTGAGTTGGATGTGGGAGAGGACCCCCCCACGATGGTTCGACTGCGCCAGGAGATTGAGGAGATTCAGGTCATGGAGAAGCGCCGGGAGCTGCAACTTGCCGAGAGCTGCCTATTTTTAAGGGTCGCCAGACCTTTCAACTCAACCTTCAAATCATAAAGCTCATAATCTCAATCTGCAAGAGATGGTAAAATTATGGAAAAACGTGGTTATCCAAATTGGTGCTTCGCTTTTAAGATCAGATCCGTGCCGTGCCAAATGGTTTTGTTCGTTGGTTTCTAGCATGTTTTAACCACCATTAACTAGTGAGATATATCCACAATAAACCCTACAGTTTTTGGAGGTATGTTTGCCAAGTTAGCTATCGTGCCAGGGGGCCAAAATCCTTTTCACTTGTTCTGTAGCAACAACTATAGATGATCTACCATGAACCCTATTCATATCAACTACAAACAAACGTAGCTACAGCAAGCCACAAAAACATCGAACAGTTGGAAGCCTGGAAATTCTGGAGAAAACATCATCTATATCATCCTGGCCTAGGAAAACGGTTCTATACTTTTTGGCTCACTATATCATAAGTCAAACAACCATTTCCATGTTGTTCCATGTTTGCTGGTGAAATCCTATTCTTTAATGCCTAAATCCCAATGTTTAATAGTTAATTCACATTTTTTCATGGTGAAATCCCCATTTACAAATGGTTATAGAATTCCATATGAATCCCCAAGGTTTCCAGCTCTTCATTGCCCATGTCCTTCCGCGCTTAAAACAGCGTTCAACGGCACGGCCGTTGAGGACTGCCATGATGCGTCGCAACCAGCTGAACTGTCGCAAGGCGCTGCATGGCACTGATCTCAGCAGCGCGGGGCGCAAGCAGAGCAACGCCAAGTTGACCGAACCCAAGGAGTTGCCTGGCACCCGGTGAAGGCGAAAAAACCAGCAGAAATCTGGGGGGATTGAACCACTAAAAATGGTAGCTTTTACTATAAGAATCAGCTGGGGTTAATGATAACAGTAGTAATAATGATAGTATTGTTTGATATGTGTATCAAGACGATCTGAGGAAAAGATTTAAGGAACAATATATCAAGATACCAAGATGAGTAGATTTTCTAAATTTCCATTGGTTGGTTGATTAATAGGCAGAGGCTTCCCCACATTCAACAACCAATATATAATGTAGTGAATGATAACAGATAGTATACCAAAGCGGCCCCTCATCTTTCCTAAATTGGTTTTTTACGCATCAGAATATGGATTTAAGCACTTAAAAATGACCAATAAAATTGGGATTAAACCTAGAAAAACGGGATTTGATTATTTTCTAAATTTCCATTGGTTGGTTGATTAATAGGCAGAGGCTTCCCCACATTCAACAACCAATATATAATGTAGTGAATGATAACAGATAGTATACCAAAGCGGCCCCTCATCTTTCCTAAATTGGTTTTTTACGCATCAGAATATGGATTTAAGCACTTAAAAATGACCAATAAAATTGGGATTAAACCTAGAAAAACGGGATTTGATTATGTGACGGGAATTTAGAAGAGGACACACATTGATTTAACCATCAACAGAGGGGAATTTGAGAAAAGACACATGCGCAAGGAAGAACAATTC